TATCACCAGAAGCATCCTGTTTTGGTAGTAATGGTTGTATGCCCAGAGTGTGCCCTCTTATACACGGTCCTTCTACCAGAGCATGGCGTCGTGCATGACATGTGTTATGTGTTCAGAAAATACCGGATTGGTGGAAGGATGAATTGGGAAGCTTCACTTTTTGGTTGTTAAAAATTGGAGGAGCAGAAATCTTATGTTATAAGCCTGTAAGATTATTTCTAGTGATAAGAATTTTTTAAGTGATAAGACAGTTGGAGAATGTATAACATATGACAAAAAGACCAAGACTGATGCTTTGCAGAAAGATCCTACTGGAAGTATCTTCCTCTAAAACTCCTGAACCAGGCTGATCCCTTCCTGATGTTTTTGAACTTTATTACTTGTTTTCTCAATTCACGTTTCACTGGCTTCAGTTTGTTTTTTTAATTGTATTGTTTAGAAAATGCTTTATGAAGTATTTGGGATATTTCTTTTTCTTTTTTTTTTTTTGGATATTTCATTTTATACATGGATCTGCCTTGTGTAATATACAGTCATCCCTCAGCATTTGAGGGGGACTGGTTCCAGCACCCCCTCGTCCCCTCCCTTTCTGACCCCCTCTCCCTCATACCAGCATCCTCAGGTACTCAAGTCCCTTACATGTTAGCATATAACCTATGCACACCTTCCTGTAAACTTTAAATCATCCTTAGGTTACTTAGCCCAGTACAGTGTGAATGCTGTGTAAGTAGGTGTCATTTCATGGCAAATTCAAGTTTTGCTTTTTAGAACTTTCTGGAATTATGTTTTTGGAATACTTTCCATTCACAATTGGCTTAATCTGTGAATGCAGAACCCACTGGCCAATTGTAATTAATTTAGATACAGTAACTTGTCTGTCTCTTTCCCCGTGCTGTTGCCCTCTTTTCCCTCCTCCCTCTTTTTCTTCATTTTGCCCTGCGGGTTTTGGTAAGGCAAAATAGAAGGTAACAGTTCCTTTTTATTGGATTTTTTAGAATTTAATAGTGACAGAACATAATAAAAAGTGGGTTTTTTCCTGAAAAAAGGCTGAGCAACCTGCTGCTCTAAAAGCAGGGTAGAGTAGACTCCTGAATTCCCCCTTTTTTCTGACAGCCACTGAATTCTTGACCATATATTTTATGTGCCTAGTGGTTGTATTAGGAGAGTCTCAGGAAGAATATGCCAAGGGAAAGGAAGGCCTTTCTGGGGCAGGAAGAGCCCCCAGGTCAGAGCAGGCTCATGGTGTGTTATTGCATCTTTGGAGCAGGAAGATCTTAAAACAGATTTTTCCTTTAACCCATTTCTCCTTCTTGGAACTGGAGTAAAGAAGCACTGGCTTGTGGAATGGATCCTAGAGATCCCTAGGTGTCCCTATATTCTGGAAGTTAACATTTAAAAATATATTGAAGTTAGGAAGCCTTTGGGAATAATCCCAAAGATCATGAGATTATGCATGTCATTAGTTTTGGTTATTATTACCTCGTGGATCCCTCGCTTGCTCAGTCACTCATTTGTGTCTGACTCTTTGTGACCCGGTGGACTGCAGCACTCCAGGCTTCCCTGTCCATCACCAACTCCCAGAGCCTACTCAAACGCATGTCCATAGAGTTGGTGATGCCAGCCAACCATCTCGTCCTCTGTCCTCCTCTTCTCCTCCTTCTGCCTCGTAGATAATGACTCTTTAATAATAATAAGCTTTGGGACTTTAGACAAGATAACCTCTTTAAGCCCCATGACCTTTTCCGTAAAATGGAGTTAATGATAGTACTGATCTCAGATGGTTGCCATGAAAATTAAGCAAGACTAAGAGCATGCCTGGGTGTTCTTAGTTATAAACCCCCAAATCTGGGTCTGACTGGCTTATGCAGAAAAGAATTTGGAGAGGATAAAGGGAATCTCAGTCTCACTAGAAGGGTTGGAGAACTGGAGTCAGATTTATGTGGCTCTGAATCAGTCATAGTCATGACACAGAGCTAGTCTCAGGAGGACTGCTGCATCTCTGCTGGTCATCAGATGCCACAGCTTGCGTTGCTAGCACTGTGGCTGTCATTAGCAGTGTTGTCATTCCTGCCTTTGAAGCTGACTCTTGCTGCTACTGCTTCTGGAAATAATTCTGCACTGTCCCTGATTCTTTACATCACTGGCTCCCAGTTTAGGATGTCGGACAAGTGATTTTGGGCCATATAGCCTAGCAACAGGGAACCTGGAAAGGCAAATTTACAAAATGATCAGCTTGTATGAAGGGACTTGGACTTTGCTCACCATGAAGACTTAGAAAACTGGGAATTTCCAAAGCAAGAGAGTCAGTCAGTCCCAAACTGATAAATTGCCACTGCTTATAATATACTTAGTACTATGCCTGACAAGTGGGAAGTGTCCCCCCAGACACTGGCTTTTATTAATTTATACTTGCCTGTCTTTGAGGGAAAAGTTAGATTTCTACTCCTAGGTTTGATTTTTGAAGCAAAAAAAAAAAAAAATTGCTACTAGAGCAGTAAAGGTAAATGGATGGATGTAATTCCCAAGCAGAGAATTTACATGGCAGTCCGATTATGTTCACTAGATGGTGCCTCCCAGTGATTTTGAAGTAACTTGAGGGTAATTCTGGTCTTGCTAGCCAAAATGTATAAGCAGCCAGTAACCCAGATTGCCACTGAGACTTTCTTGCTATTTATTAATTGCCTCTCTTTTTACCTGGTTTACCATTTATGAGGGTTCAGTAATAACATAGTTTAGAAAGTTACAGGCAAAGTGTCAGAAAACCTGGGTTTGAAAATCTCTACCAGTGACTACTGGTATATCTTGGAGCATGTTACTTAACCCCTGAGATTCTTTCCTCTGTGTGTCTGTATATGTGTGTGTGTGTGTGTGTGTGTGTGTGTGTGTAACAAGAAATTTCCCAGGAATATCATTGAGGATTTAAATGTGCTAAGTCGCTTCAGTCATGTCCGACTCTTTGTGACCCTGTGGACCATAGCCCGCCAGGTTCCTCTGTCCATGGGATTCTCCAAGCAAGAATATTGGAGTGAGTTGTCATACCCTCTTCCAGGGGATCTTCCCCACCCAGAAATCGAACCTGCTTTTCTTACATCTTCTGCGTTGGCAGGTGGGTTCTTTACCACTAGTGCCACCTGAAGATTTAAATGAAAATGTGAAAATATCGAGGAAATAGTGAGTACTGCTCATTAAATATTGCTTTTAAAAATAAAACAAGAGCCCTGGGAATTACAGAAGTTCAGGTTTCACATTTCTTTTAAAAAGTGGAAGAAATCTGTAATATCTAGGTAAATATTTAAGCAGTGTAACTTAGGGCAGCCATTTCAGGGTACCCCTGAAGTTATGATATTTTTACAATAATATTGAGATGTTTGCCTTTTTCACTTTCATTTTCTCATGAATGCACTTTCTAAAGACTACGTGATGTGTGTGTGGTGTCATAACAGAGTGAACAGAGAAGCAAATACGAGAATCTACCTGTCTTCTATTTAGTTCAGTGTTATAGAGATTTACAGAAGTGTAAAGTAATGCCATTCTTTTTATTAGACTTTTCTTTCGTTTTGAAAATTTTGTTTTTAATAAAAAGTGTTAATGTGCAATGGTGTTTATTTTTATTTTTTAAAGAATTAACATTTTAAATTGCTGTTTTAATTTCTATTTTGGCAACTATTGATAGATGAGACCTACGTAAATGAAAACCCATTGAAGAGCTCAGTAATTTTTAAGGGTATAAAGAGATTCTGAGACCAGAAAATTTGAGAATTGCTATTTTAGTGGAAAGTGCTATGTTTTCAATAAGAGGAAACTATGATTGACTAATTTATTGGACTGAACCTTGGGCTTCCTTGGTAGCTCAGACAGTAAAGAATCCACCTGCAGTGAGGTTCAATCCCTCATCTGGAAGCTCCCCTGAAGAAGGGAGTGGCTACTCACTGCAGTATTCTTGCCTGGAGAGTTTCACGGACATAGGAACCCGGCAGGCTGTAGTCCGTGGGGTCACAGAGAGCTGGACATGACCGAGGGACTAACATATTTGCTTATTTATGTGTATGGACTTGGAACAACTCCAAAATTCATAAAGTCTAGTTTAACAAAAATACACATACAGACGGAGACATGCATGTGGAGATTAAGTGGAATTTGTTGTTAGTCACAGAGAATTTATATAGAAGTAGAAATTTTTAAAAGGAGATTCTTTTCAATGAACTAATGTGATCAGTTATTCTGATCTATACATTAAATGTACCAGGTTCTATTCTAAGTTATTATGGATATACTGACAAAATAGACAAAGTCCCTGCCTCAAGAAGGTAAATGTTTAATGAGAGAGGCAGGGATAAACAAGTAAAAAATGTATATGAATAATTATAAATTGTGATAAGAACTACATAGGAGCACATATTATGAAATTCAAGAGGAAAATGATGCAGACCTACTTATACAAGAGAGGCTTCTCTTAAGTCAATGATTTTTAAGCTGAGACAGTATGTATGAGAAGGAGCAGAGGGAATAGCTTTCTGCAAAGAGAACGGTATATGTAAAGACCCTGAGGTGTTGCCTAAAGTAGGGTAGACATGAGGAATGGCAGAACAAAATGATGTTGGAGAAGTAGGCAAGATCTAGACCATGCACGGCCTTATAGGCAATGGAAGGAAGGCTCTAGTTTAGACATGTGAAGGGCTCAAATGTGTCTATGGCTGAGAGGTTTGTAAGGGATTATTTGGCCAGAAGAGAGTGTTAGTAAGTACAGTTTATATTGAGGTAGTTGTGATAGAGGATAAGCAGTTATTTCTCATAACTGTCCCTGGTTGATGTTCTCAGTGACAGAATAATGACTTAGTGATTTTAATTCAGTATTGAAATTCCTAGGTTCTTACTACTGAGAGTTTGTTCAGAAGATTAAATTTCTTTTTTGATTATGTTCTTTAACTTACTCAAAATATGTATTAAATAACTAAGTGCCTGCCAGATTTTTCTACCAGTTATATCTCTGTTTGTTTCAGTGCTCTTCTTTTTAATGAAGTAAAATATATTACCACCCTGGGAGACCTTCAGAACATAGAAAATGCTCTAAAAGGAAAAGGAAACATTGCATTTGCGTATGTCAGAGCCATTGGAACACCAGGTACTTATCAACTTTGTCTTTAATCTTTGCTGTGCCTCTATATATGTGTGTCTATGTTGAAGGACTTAATGTATTTTAACTACCATCGTAATATTTTAAAATAAATTTAAAGGCTCTTTTACCATTACATTTTCTTTCTTCAAGTAGGCAGCATAGTACAGTGATTGAATAAGAACTCTGGAGCCAGACACCTAGGTTAAACTCCCTGTCCCACCAACTACTTACAGTGTGACCTCGGTGTGCTCAATCATGTCCAACTCTTTGCAACCCCTTGGACTGTAGCCCACCAGGCTCCTCTGTCCATGGGATTCTCCAGGCAAGAATACAGGAGTGCGTTGCCATTTCCTCCTCCAGGGAATCTTCCTGACCCAGGGATCGAACCCACGTCTCCCGTGTCTCTTGCATTGGCAGGCGGGTTCCTTACCATTAGCGCCACCTGGGAAGCCCAGAAAATACAGAACACTTCACGAATTTGCGTGTCATCCTTGTGCAGGGACCATGCTAATCTTCTCTGTATCATTCTAATTTTAGTATCTGAGCTGCTGAAGCAAGCATATGACCTTGGACAATTGACTTATTTAACCTGTTCCCTGGTCACTAAGATGGTGAAAATAATTGTGCCTACCTCTTAGTGTTATTGTGAGAACCAAGGGAATTTGAAAAAATAAAAAGGTTCCTGGCACATAGTAGGTGCTCTGTGTCTGCTATTACTGTTTTTTATTTCCTAACAATCCTCATGGTACCTGATTTAGTATTCAGTAGTTTATAGTATTTGGTAAATGTTGTTGGCTGACTTGACTTCCTTTTTTATTTTGGTGTTTGCTGTTTATGACATATTTTAATTTTAATGACATATTTTTCTTGACTTTTGAAAAATTTTGACAACATCACCTTAGCCTTAATAGGTAATTTTGTCATAAAGAAAATTATAAATGTTTTATGAACAAATAATAATTATGCTTTCATGATTTTTATTTGTTAATGGTATAACTTGGACATGTTAATATAAAGTGTTGTTAAAAACATTTAAAATTGTATATGCTGTATGAAATAAAATAATTTATTGGAAAATTCTGTTTTTACAGACATAAAGCTTGATGGCTACATGGTTTAAACTTAATGTACATGTAAAATAATACCCCACAATCAACCTGTTTATTGTTTACTTTTCAGGGCCCCTCAGGTTATTGTATTTTGTCCATAGTCTGTAATTAAAGTCAGTAAGAGGGATGAACTATACAAGGACTTACACTGTCATAATGGAACCAGAAATCCCTGATTTATATTTTATCAGGATCAGTCTGACTTCTGGGTTTGGAATAGAGTAGAAGGAGCAATAGTAGAATAAGGGAGAAAATCAGGAAGTTATCACAATAATGCAGGCAGGAGATGGTGGTGGGTGGCTTGGAACAGGGTATCAGCAGCAATGGCAGTGAAAATACATTTGAATTTTAGCCATAGTTTGGATTGTAAGAGGTACTGAATTTTCTGACATATTGGATATAGATTGAGAAAGATAGCAGAGACAAGGATGGCTCTAGGATTTTGGCCTGAGTTCCCTCCCTGAATGGTGAAATTGCTAATAACTAAGGTGGGGCAGACTGGAAATAGTTTGGAGAAGAAAGCGCTAGAATCGACTTTTGGACACCATACTTGTGAAATACCCATTAGACAGCCAAGTAGCGATATCATCAAGGTAGTTGTAGTTGGATATTGCTAGTCTGCATTTGATGGTGGAATACAGACTAGGGATAAACATTTATGCCATTAAGTTGTGAGACCAGAGGACATCACGAAGGGAGTGAGGCTAGATGGAAAAGAGAAGCCTGAACTCATTAGATACGTCATCATTCACGGGTCAGTAGAGGAGGTGGAAGGAATGACCTGTGTGTCGCAAAGTGACGAGAGGGTTTTAGTGAAGAGAGAGTAGCAATTGTATGAAAGGATGCTGAAAGATTGACTAGGATAAGAACCACCAGTTGGCCATTATGCTTGGCAATATGAAGTTACCCATGCCCTTGATACACATGATTTTTGTAGAGCGGTAGGGATCAGTGCCTGCCTAGGGTATAAGAGAATAGGCAGAGAGCAACTGGAGACTGTGGCTATAGAGTCTCATATAAGATTTTGCTATTAAGGGAAGGAGGAGATGAGGCAGTGGCCAGAGGAGTATGTGGGGTCGAGTGAAGAATTTTTTAAGAAGCGTATTTGTATGTTGACATGAAAGATCTTGTAGAAAAAGGAAAATACATTATGGAGAAAAAGGAAGGGAAAATTATTGGAACAACATCTTTGAGTAGAGTAGGGTAGATGGAATCTAGTGAATGGGGGAAGGGGTGGCTCTTTGCTGGGAGCGTGGAAAATTCACCTATGGTATTAGGAGAGAAGACAGAGAATATTGGCATCAATTTAGTTAAGGGGGCAGATACATACGGTGCTGGGAACTTCTTTGGTTTTGATTCATTTTCTTAATGAAATAGAAATAAAGTGATCAGATAGTGTGAGGAAACAAGGGGTGAACTAATTGTTTTAGAAGGCCTGAAAATAAAGAATGGCTGTTCTGCAGCAGTAATAGTTGATGCCAGTAATCTAAAGTGAGACCATGGGCATGGTTATGCTAGCAGGTTCTTGTTTTCTTCCCCCAGTCATATTCACTTTTATGGGTGTAAGTGCAAAACAGGCAGATTGTTTGATTTAACTTGGATTGTGTTTTAGCTAGACAGGCGGATGAGTGACTATAAAGACTGACCATGGAATTTAAGCTGGACTAGGAGGGAAGAGAGGACCTGAGGTGGGTGAAGGACAGTGAAAATGTAAGACTGTAAATTCGGGAAGGTTAAAGTTGTGTACTAGACAAGTGACCCAGAGATGGAAGGGTGTGTGCGTGTGTGTGTGTGTGTGTGTGTGTGTGTTTGGGGGGGAGTGCTACACATTGAAAATTTGGAGGATTTGCAGATTGGTGATTACAAGCCTGAAGTGGGACAGTGACCATGAGTGGTTAAGGTAGGGCTGAAGCGAAATCACTGGAGTTTCCAGATAAGACCAAGGACTGAAAGGCTAGGATTTTGCAAGGATCATGTATGGGGATAGGAAAATCGAAGCGCGTGACAGTGTGACAGAAGCTAAATTTTTCATGAGATGAGGGGGATTAACCCTGGCTGGGTTAGTAGATGACTCCAACAAGGCAGAGTGGTGAGTGGAATAATCTGATGAAATGTGATTCAAGTGATAGAAGTTTAGGTCAGGGAGGGGAAAATAACTACCTGGAAATGGCAGTGAGAAAAAAAGGGAAAATAAGATATGGAAAGGAAGAAATTCTCAAAGGAATGCTTTAAGAAAATTTCTCAGAACTGAGGGATTTGAGCCTCCAAATTGCAAGGGTTCACTGAATCCCAGCAGTGTTTAAATGTAGAGCCATGCCAGAGGATCTCATTTTGAATTTTCAGAATATTGGGAACAAACACTATTCTAAAATTTTCCAGAAAGAAAAAAGTATGCTGTTTAAGGATTAAGAATCAGGATGACTTTGGATTTGGGAGCCAATGAAAATGGAGGAATGCTTTCAAAATTCTTAGGGGGAATGACTTGAACCTAGAATTCTATATGCAGCCAACTATAGTTAGTTATGAAAGTAGAATAAAGCCACTTTGAGAAGGTTAAGGTTGCAAAAAATGTTTATTCCATATATCCTCTCCCAGAAAGGAGCTAGAGAATGGGAGCAAGGGAACAAATTAGTCCCGAAGATGAGGGTAATAGGCCAAGGCCCCAATACAAGAGTGAGAATCAGAGAATCCCCAGGACAGTAATGAAAGTGAGTTCCTAGGATGAAAGTTGGGGCAGGTTGAGTAGCAAGAGTCCTCGTTCAAGCAAATCAGAAGACTCTGCATAAATGTCTGCAAAGAGAGGGAATAGATAGTAAAACAGATACATTTGAAGTATTGGGGGCCTAAGACAGTTGCAGAAGAGTTTAGGGATAAATTAGCAAGGAATGTAAACAAAAATTTTTAAAAAGATACTTATAACTGTAGTGAAAAAATTCTCAAAAGGAAATTGTATTTACTGAGTCCCAACAATATGAAACCATGAACTTCCAGATGTTCAAACTGGATTTAGAAAAGGCAGAGGAACCAGAGATCAAATTGCCAACATCCGTTGGATCATTGAAAAAGCAAGAGAATACCAGAAAAACATCTACTTCTGCTTTATTTATTACGCCAAAGCCTTTGACTGTGTAGATCACAACAAACTGGAAAATTCTTAAGAGATGGGAATACCAGACCACCTTACCTCCCTCCTGAGAAATCTGTATGCAGGTCAGGAAGCAACAGTTAGAACTGGACATGGAACAACAGACTGGTTCCAAATTGGGAAAGGAGTACGTCAAGGTTGTTTATTGTCACCCTGCTTATTTAACTTATATGTAAAATGCAAAATGCCAGGCTGGATGAACCCCAAGCTGGAATTAAGATTACCGGGAGAAATATCAATAACCTCAGATAACACAGATGGCACCACCCTTATGGCAGAAAGCGAAGAACTAAAGAGCCTCTCGATGAAAAAGGAGAGTGAAAAAGCTGGCTTAAAACTCAACATTTGAAAAATGAAGATCATGGTATCTGGTCCCACCACTTCATGGCAAATAGATGGGGAAACAGTGGAAACAGTGAGAGACTTTATTTTTGGAGGCTCCAAAATCACTGCAGATGGTGACTGCAGCCATGAAATTCAAAAATGCTTGCTCCATGGAAGAAAAGCTGTGACCAACCTGGATGGCATATTAGAAAGCAGAGACATTACTTTGCTGACAAAGGTCCATCTAGTCAAAGCTATAGTTTTTCCAGTAGTCATGTATGGATGTGAGTTGGACTATAAAGGAAGCTGAGTGCCAAAAAATTGAAATTTTTGAACTGTGGTGTTGGAGAAGACTGTTGAGAGTCCCCTGTGAGATCCAACCAGTCAATCCTAAAGGAAATCAGTCCTGAATATGCATTGGAAGGACTGATGCTGAAGTTGAAACTCCAATACTTTGGCCACTTGATGTGAAGAACTGACTTATTGGAAAAGACCCTGATGCTGGGAAAGATTGAAGGTGGGAGGAGAAGGGGACAACAGAGGATGAGATGGTTTGATGGCATCACCAACTCGATGGACATGAGTTTGAGCAAGCTCCAGGAGTTGGTGATGGACAGGGAAGCCTGGTGTACTGCAATCCATGGAGTCACAAAGAGTCGGACATGACTGAATGACTGAACTGAACTGAACAATATGAAAACTGAGTATTGATCTAATAAAAACTAGGACTATATTGGGCAAATTGAGGGGATCGAATTGTGTACATTTGTGGAATGAGGTTTCAGAAAAGAGAACTATTTATCATCTTTCATAGTGGGAAGTCAATAGACAATACTAACACACACAAATAATCAGGAAATAAGAGTTTAAGAGTGTCATTTAGGGATTTGGAGGTAAATACCTAAAGAAAGAGAAAGTTGAAAGTAGTTGCCCCTTGGAAATGGTGTCAAGGGTAAAGGAACTGTTCATTTTAAAAATATACCTTATAGAATTGTCTGTTTTTTGATAAGAATAAGTTTGATTAAAAAAATAAGCCATAAGTAGCATACAGACATATTCATGCATAAAATATAACATACGAAAGTGGTGTGGCGAATTCATACTCTCTTCCCTACTACTGGGAAAAAGCTATCACAAATTTGTCATATAGCTTCAAGTATAACTCATTTTTAACTCCCTCTTAGTTCTGCTCTTACCTTGACTTGACTGGAACAGACTTTTTATAACTTCTTTAACTGCCTGCATATTCCCAACTGGGATCCCTACAAAGGATTTTTCTTTAAACATAGTAGAGCATGAAAGGGTGTGGGAAAGTATTCAAAATAGAATCACACAAACTAACCTCTCCTCCCTCTCACCTCCCCTCTCTTTTTCAGAGCACAGAGCCGTCATGGAAGCCGCTTTTGTGTATGGGACCACACACCAATTTGTCTTAACCACGGAAATTGCCCTTTTGGAGAGTATTGGGTATGTATAAGAAATATAAGTAAACTATTTTAAGTTTCACTTGTTTCACATTACTTTTTCAGCATTTCTGTCATACTGTCACAGCATGGACTAATCTGAAAGGAATCATAAGCAGGTATGAATATATAAATAAAACCTGAAATCCTCTTCATTACTATCATGGGAAAGTTTCTCAATTGTGTCCAACACTTTGCGACCCCATGGACTATACAGTCCATGGACTTCTCCAGGCCAGAATACTGAAGTGGGTAGCCTTTCCCTTCTCCAGGGGATCTTCCCAACCCAGGGATTAAACCCAGGTCTCCCACATTGCAGGTGGTTTCTTTACCAGCTGAGCCACAGGCTGTACTAAAATGAGGTTAAAGATACAGAAGTGATGTTAAACTAAGGTGAACCAAGGCAATATGGATAAGCCACAGATGTGATCCCTTGAGTGGTCATGTGTATTTTAGAAATATATCTACCCCAGTAGTCAGGGGATCAAATAACAGCTTTTATGACTAAGCTCTAGAGATTCTTTGAGAGTTCCATCAGTTACTATACCAGAAAAATTTTAAATATATTTGAGTACAATTTTGAACAGATGTTTTCTAAATGTTTAATTTTCTTGTCTAGTTTCTAGCTTACAGTTGTAGGTAGAGACCTTCTTTGGACTCTTTTTGACTGGGCAACCGAGGGGTAAAGTTTTTCTTCTGTTTAGTACATAGGGACACAAGAGACATAGGAACACCAGTGCGTTTGAAAGACTTTTTAAGTTTGATTTCAAAATATTTTTCAGGAAAATTAATACAAAGCAAGGCAAAGGGGTGATTGGGTGACCCTTTTAAAACCATGCAAGAGTTTTTAATGAGTCCTCTTGCTCACCTCTCAGAAAATAGTGACTATTTGTTAAACCGCACACAAATCCCAGATGTTTTACAGTTTGGTAAATTTGGTTGTTAGTGCATAGAAAGCTGATAAAGTGAAATGGTTTTTTTTGGGGGGGGGTGTTGTTGGGAGTGCATAGGCAAAGAATGAAGTACTTGCAAATAAAATTTATTGCTCTGTACAACATCAACCAACATTCCTTTTTCCCTCTTATTGAACTGCCATTCTGCTAGTTCTCTCATTAATGAGTTAAAGAAAACTTTGATGCATGTTTACTATTTGTATAAGAATTAGTATTCTTAACAATTTGAGAATCATGCTGATAGTATCACAAAGCTCTATGATATGTAGTCACTGTATCTCAAGATATAATGAGCAGTAGTTTAGACAGCTACTTTGCTACTACCAGTGTAGACTGCCAAATTCCCATCTTGGGATGGGGGAACCCGGCTGTTCTCAGTCCCATGGTGATTTTGGGGTAGCCCCACAGTTTCTCTGAGGATTTTTTGTACTTTCTCCTCTGTTATCATCATCTTTATTTTTCTGCGAATGAACAATTGCTAATAACAGTGACATGCTTCAAATATAGAGGGTTGGTTATTTACTGGCAAGGTATGGGTCCTCTCATTTGTCTTACAAATCCTGTTCAGCAAGATCAGACTATACAGTGATCAATGATTAAACATGGTAATGTTCTGGAAAGATTTTTGCTTGTCTCCACTTTTAAAATGAGAATTAAAAACAGTTATTCTGTTTTTCATAAATTTGTTAGTATATGATACATTGGAGAGATTTATTCATGGCTAACAAAGTGGTGAGGAATCATACCTGGCCCCGATGTGGTAGGGAAGGACTGTGGATTCAGAATATGTAGTCAGTGGCTCAGATGGTAAAGAATTCGCCTGCATTGCGGGAGACCTTTGTTCAATTCCTGGGTTGGGAAGATCCCCTGGAGGAGAGCATGGCAACCCACTCCAGTATTCTTGCCTGAAGAATCCTCATGAACAGAGGAGCTTGGTAGGCTGCAGTCTATGGGTTCACAAAGAGTTGGACATGGCTGAGCAACTAAGCACATGAAATCACTTCTAGATGAAGTAGTTAACAATGACTTTGAGTTGTCACCTAATGGAGGAGAAGTGTTAGTTGCTAAGTCATTTCCAAATCTTTGTGACCCCATGGACTGTAGCCTGCCGGCTCCTCTGCCCATGGATTTTCCCAGGCAAGAATACTGGAGTAGGTTACCATTCCTTTCTCCAGGGATCTTCCCAACCCAGTTACCGAACCTAGGTCTCCTGCATTGCAGGCAGATTCTTTATCACCTGAGCCACCAGGGAAGCCCCACCATTTAATGGAGGAGAGATGAATGTATTTTTTCTTCCATCTGTTCTTTTTATTTTTTTCTTTCCTTTGTTCATTCTTTCATTCAACAATTATCTATTGAATGCCGTCTGTGTTCTAGGTACTGTTCTTCTTGCAGGGTGATAACTTTGGATAATCTTCTATATTAATAGTTATGTTGGACCTGAGTATGTTTGAAATGGTTAAGAAGGGTATATGTGCTCTGTACTGACCTGCATGGGAAAAGAAGAGGATATATGTTTATGCATCACTGATTCACTTTGCCGTACACCTGAAACTAACACAACATTGTAAACCAACAAAACTCCAATAACAATTTTCTTTAAATGCTAAGAAAAGAAAAGGGTATATATGATGGGTAGTAAAAGAGGTAGCATGCTGTAGAGACACAAGTACTTTCTGCTACCTCCCCATATTCCCTTCTTAAAGTATCTGTGTATAGGCCAAGAAGGGTGTTACCCCTACTTCATACTTATCACAGTCTGTTAAGTCGGAGGTGGCCACCTGACCTAGAGTCAACCAATCCATGGGCTTACCTGAGCAAATGAGATGTCTTCTTCCAGGAACTTGGAATTGAACATGGGAGAAACTGGATTATACAGCACTTTAACTGTCTTGCTTACTGAATGTTTTGCCCATGTAGAAGTAAAGCAGAAAGAGTGGGGAGCTAAAAAGTGTTAATGGCAAAATGAAGGACCCTGAACTCTTGCTGTTCAGATCTGTACATTTGTTCTTTGATCCAGTTACTTGGATTTTCCTTGTATTCTGTGAGATACCCTTCTAAACTAGTAAGTTCCCCCACCCCCACTTTTTTGGTTTATGTTACCTATAACCAAATGATCTCTGATTAGATAACTTTCTGACATAATTTTATTGTTTCATAAATTACGGTTTGTGGTCCAACCTCAGCTGGGTTATCATGCTCTTAACACTTTCCATTCAGTATTATGTGACTGTTTATGGTTTCCCTCAAAAAAGTTATGTACTTTGACTGGGGCCTTGGCTATATTGTTCCTATTGTCTGAAATACTCCTTAGTCTTCTTGGCGAAGTCATTCTCTTACTGCTTTTAATCTCTATGGTGATCTTCCTTTCTGTTTCCTTCCTTCTCTTCCCTGACTTGAGCAGAATGAAATATTTCTTTGTTTCTCGTAGCACCCTGTATATTATAGTACTTATGAACCACATTTTTTTTAAACTAAATATGTCCTTTAGCCCATGCCCCTCAAGGATTTGAAATATCTTATTCATCTTAGTCTTTTACATTTAGCACAGGGCCTAACATAGTAGGCATTAAGTAATATTGAGTGATCATTTCTTTAATCATTGAATCTACTAGATATTGCTTTGTAATGAAATTTGAAGTCAGTGAATCTTGGAGCTCAGTTGAAGCATGTGTCAATAATTAAAATAACATTGTAAAAATAAAAATTTGCAGTATTTTGCCAGACTGTACTAATGCCATATGGAGATTTATAGAATGTTATTTTAATTTTGGCAAACCTTACTTACTATAAGTTTATCTTTGAATTTTCATATTGAAGGGAATGCCAAAACTCAAATTATAAGCCACATTTGCTGGGTTTTCTAATATTTCAGATACAAACTCACTAACTCTCACAAAGTGTCACATGGTTTCTATCTTAAGGCATGTTTTGGCTGAAGTTTATTCAAAACAGATTTGGGTTTAAATTAAACCTAGAAGATTTGTGTTACAAAGCTTTATTTAGCATAGCTATAGAAAAGCAACTATATTTTAAGATAATCTCATTGTCCTCAAGGTGACAGTCTTTTATTTAAAAATAATTGTGTAGACCTGTCTCTAACCTAATTTAAAAGTTAGCATATGAAACAGTTCAGGAAAAAAATTGCTTATACATCTCAAAAATTCCTTTTATTCTCTTTTTTTGCTTTGGTCCACTTAATTTTGTTACACTGCTTTAGGCTTTTACCAAAACAGTAATTCAAAAGCACGAAACTTAGGACAAAGAGATTTATTATGTCTTTCTGCATAGTAGAAGAATCACACATTGAACTTCAAGTTGGTCTGTCCCTCATTTTTAATTTGCAGCCCTGAGGATATAGAGTATCCACATCTCTACTTTTTTCACTGTAAACCAGTCTTCGACCTGACCCAGCCATGTAGGAGAATACTAATGAAGCAGTCACTGACTACACTGAACATTCATCAATTTATTAAGACAATGGAAGCACCTTTGCTGGTATGTGTCTTATTTAAATATGTTAGATAATTTGTATGAAAAATTTATTGTTTTGATTTACAGATATGCATTTAACTTAGATGAGCTATATCTTTCCCCCTTGAACATATTTATTTCATTTAGGCAGATTTAGGAGTAGTACCTTATTAAAGGTAGATTAGAGGATAAACTGTGTATTCATAAAATGGTATTTTAATGCCTTGAAGTGTTGTTGTTTTGAACAACCCAATATAGCATTGTGTAATTATAATGGTAGTTATAATGAACTGTGGAACTGTTCTGTGGTAGTTATGATTTGTGACCATTCTGAGATCACAAAGATTACATCATGGGCTAAGAAAAGACCTCTTTTGATGAATGTTTTGATTCCTGTTTTAAAAGTTTATAAATACTTGCATTATAGCATTTTTGGTGTTTCACCTTCCTTAGTGTTAGCCTGGAAGAATCTTAGACTCAATGGGTGATCAACTGACTTCTCTCTAGAACTTTAAAGGGTTGTCCTGAGCATATGTAAAACCTTCAATAGGCCTTCTCCCTCACCATGTCCTTTTTACATAAAAATTGTGCATATGTGCTATAAATAATTCAAACAGTGCAGCAAAGTATAAAGAATGAAAAATTTTAAATCCACTAATTCCCATCATTCAGAAATGAACTGTTAGATGCAACCAGTCATCTCTGCATCCATATAGATACATATAGATAGAGGGATGAATGGATTCATGGACATATATTGCATGAGCTGCTTTATAGTAAGAAGCACTATATTTAATCTTATTTGAATTTACTAGAAGAAAAAGAAACTGACATGAAACTAGAGGAATTATGGAACTTTTGAGAAATTGTTTCATTAGAGGGCTGTTTAGGAAATACTGTCTTAAGTGTTGAAATGATTATGGAAAACACTGAGAAGTGAAAATTATTATTTTAAGAAAACTGCATATTTTCATTTTAGATAATACTGATTTACTCCTTGGTGTAAAAGATGAGAATATTAACTTCATATGTTTATTTCCATCTCAGTTCCTCTTTACCCTCCAGATTGTTGTTTTGTGTTAGTTTACATTGTAAAGGTTATAATATTTATATTGTGTTCTATAATCATAATTCCCATTTTTAAAAAAAAGCCCTGCTTTCATATTTAAATAGATTCAGAACTCATCAGTCCCAGTTCTACTGGCTTCATTCCTTAGTTCTTTATTTTGGTCAGTTTTTATTTGGTTGGATTTTGACTTCAAGCAACTAAGAAAAAACATAACAGTATATAAGTCTTTTTCCTTTCTGTTCACATGGGAGAGGGAAATATTTACCTTATGTCCTTTGGGAGAAGATCCTCTGATTTTGGTTTGATCTTCCACTTCCCTACAAAGCCCTCATAAGTTCATTGTACAGTTCTTCATCATTTCTCTCCACCCTCATTTCCTTTTCTTCCAATGTTGATATTAAGAATTCTCAGGATTTTGTCTACTCACCAGTCAACATTATCTATAAACATTTATAAAGATGGAAGTGTGATTCAGACTCTTTGATGAACTTTGGATGAATGATCATATGCATTGTTTCACTTCTAAACATATGAAAATAGATGCAGGTTGGAGAGTCTGTGTGTTTGTGTGTTAAGCAGATAGGGTTCCTGGACATTTAGTTGTTGTAGATACGTAGCACAGCTGCATCTTGTCATCATGATAGGCTCATTCTCAAAACCCAGCAACTTTGCTGTGAAATTAAGCCTGAGGAGAAATCATGTGAAAAGAAATTGAGGCCCCTAGCCCACAACCCTGCGCTCATACTAGTTAGCAATAGCTTGCTAACTAGCAGATGAGCCATTTTTGAAGTTGAACCTTCACCCTCCAGTCAAAATGCCCCACAGATGCAACGTGGGCCAGGGATGAGTTTGTAGACATATGGACAACAGAAATGATTCTTTTATTTTAAGCATTAGGTTTTGGGGTGCTTTGCTGCATACACAATGATAGAGGCTCAGAACACACCCTCAGTCTGTTTCTATGGCATTAGCTACTCTAGGTTTTTAAATCTGAATTTTCAGGTCAGATTTTCCTTTGAAGTTCCTGTCCCATGTATTTAACTACTTATTAGATGTCTCTCTCCTAAGCTCTACATGTCTGACATTAACGTGTTGTCTTTTACCATCTGTTCTTGGTCCATTATCTTGGTTAATTTACTGTCCAGTCACTCATGGCAGAAGCCTAGAAAATCATTCTCAATTCCTGCATCTGATTTTAGATCTGAAATATCTTCTCGAATTCTTCATTCTAACAGCCAGTACTTTTATCCAGGTTCTTCCTGTCTCTTGTGTACTATTTTAGTAATAGGAATTGATCTGGTCTATATTCCTATATTTCACTCTCTCTAAGTTCATACTCTCTGTTGCTTGCATAGTAATATATTTTAAACACACATGTATGATCTTGTTCTGATAATATTTGCAGTTCCTAAATGGCTTCAATTATTTACAGAATGAAGGCCTACTTTCTTAGGAGGATACACATGGTTTTTAATGATCTGGTCCTTTGCCAATTCTCCAGCCTTACTTGTCTGTTCCCATTTTTACTTTTTAATATTGAATTGCTTATGGTTCTCCAAATATTCAAAGAAGAAACCAGGCTTTTCTATTCCTTCAGGCTGTTATACCCATTCAGATGTTGACAGTTCAGTTCTGCGTGGTTGTGAGACTGAGGTTTCTACCTTCTTGCTAGCTTATGGCTGGTGTTGCTCTTAACTCCTGTGGTCTGTTCTCAGATTCTGGCCATGTGGCCCTCTCAAAAAAAATTGCAAGTTTCTCCTTCAAAGCCAGCAGACAATCTTGCTCCATTGTGCTGTGACAGTCTTACATGGTATAATCTAATCAAGGGAATGACTATGCTGTGAGTACCACCCACGCTCAAGGAATTAGGATTATACAAAATGTGTACACCAGGAATTTTGGGAGTCATCTTAGAATTATGTCTACCATAGCTAAATGCAGATTTCTCTCTGGAAACTTTAAGGACTAGAAAAATGATTCTCTATTATTAGAAACTTTGCAAGAAAGCGTCTCTCTGCATGCCTACTTTTATCCCCTATGCTGGTTTTACTCAGTGGGCTCTTTCAGTCTGGCAGCTTGTGCTCCTTTAGTTGTGGGAAATTTCTGTATTTATTTCAGTGATGATTTCTTCCCTTCTGTTTTCTCCCTTCTCTCTTTCTGGGACTCCTGTTTGAATGTTGGGTCTCTTGAACTAGTCCCTCAATTTTATTATCTTTTCTATTTTCCAGCTGTCTTTTGCCATACTTTCTGCAGATTTATTCAACTTTAGTTTTCAGTTTTTGTGAATACAGTATCTTCTCATCTTTTTGAGCTTATCAGTGGTGGTTTTCTGAACCTTTCTTCTTCCTGAATGATCTGTTTCCTCCATGTTACTTGTTTTTCTGTTTGTTCTGGTCTTTCATGTTAGAGGCTTTCCTCAGATGCTTATTACTCCTTGTTCATGATTTAGAATATGAAACTAAAGAAGTTGGCTGGAAATTCTGAGACTATGGATCAGACTTGGTAACTTTGAGCTCCATAGGGTGGTTGGACCTGGACAGGTTTTTGGTGAACCACAGTGTCAGTAGCTTTAGGCTTTTACTTGTGGTTGTTCAAGATCCCCAGAGAAAGATCTTCCAGTTTTCTGCTGGAATACAGAAGTCTGGTTGCTAGCTTACCGGAAACTGAGTGGGGAGGGGCTAGAAGGAGTCTCAGCATTTGGTTGCTCAGTCCCTCTGCTTTGAGCATGGTATTGACACTCAGCTGTTCCTGCAGTCCCCCCAGATTTCTTCTGGTATGATGCAGGGGTAGTTGCCTAAGGAGTTAGGGAAGAGGATCTAGAGATCTAACTGCTTCTCCAAAGGTTTTGTCTATTCTTTCTTACTCTGGAGCCTTCCTGCCATCATTCCCCTTCCCCTCCTCCTTTCCCTGTTCCAGAGGCTCCAGGCACTGACAGTTCCTGAGCAGTTTTAGGATTCTGCAGTTAAAGTGAAATTGTTTCTTATCCTTTCCTCTCATGGCTAGGATTTTGTTGTTCTTTAGCTTCTAAGACTTTGCTGCCTTTACTCTTTTCCTTTCTTTATGTGTGTATGTTCATCTGTTTTGAAAAATCCTACTGCTGAAGTTGTCCTGGGATTTCTGGAAGGAGTGAAGTTAGATGTGTGTTCAAGCTGATGTCAGCTCAGATGTTCCTCATTGTTCTGTAATATGTCATTATATATGTTAAATTCTCATATGGAAGAATTTGTTATGTGTTTCATTTTCATTTCAAATCTCTCTCTTTATTCAGCAGCACCACAGTTTTGTTGCTTTTTTTGGTTTCTCTGATATTCTTATTCTTTATGGTTGTAAATATCTGTATAACTAGTTGTAAAATTTGTTAGTTTCATATGTTAGTTTAAATTATATAGGTACATGGGAGCATGAAACTTAGCAAACCATGAGACCATTTTTGTTAATTGTGGATTTATTTCACAGACTTGTTTTTTCACTTATTATTAGCAGGGTTTAAATCCAAATGTTGGAACATTATTATCACATAGTGAAGACGTTTTGTTCTTTTTCTAAATGAAGACTGAAGTTACTGGAGATCCTAGACAAGTTTCAACTGTTCATGTACAACTAGGATTACCACTGGTTTTTATTGTTGGTCAACAAGCTACTTATGAAGCTGATAGAACAACTGCAGAATGGGTTGCTTGGCGTCTTCTGGGAAAAGCTGGAGTTCTACTTTTGCTAAGGTATTTTAAACATGGAATAGTAACTATTATCTATTTAGCAGGACACTGGTATTTTTCTTGATCATCTGTTCACTGGTAAATAAATTAAAATCTCTAATAGATTCTAATATAGTTAGAGCCAGTTGATGAGTTGAAATCTTTAATTATCAGCTTGATTAATAGTTAGACCTTTAAACTTTACTAAATGAAGGTGTAGGTTAAGATAGAGTATAGCAAACCTGGTCTGTATTTACATGACAAATTTCTCAGTCTCACTAAATTGTAATCTTTTTTCATAAACATTTTTAGTATAAAATTTTCAGTTCAGATTTAGGTTGACCTCCTGGATGACTATTATTCTTGAGATTGGCAACATATAACATTTATTTCCATTTTGATAAAGGGACTCTTTGGAAGTGGACATTCCTGAGGATACTAATGTTATCGTCAGAAGAGCAGAAGAGGTTGGTCATTTTCTATATTGGTCTACAACGTGTGCTTATTTAAAAGAGGTTAATACACCTGGTCCTAAAGTAACATATGCTTATTACAGAAAAATTCTATGAATTGCCACTATTCAGAGATAACTGTTGTTACTATTTTGGTGTGTTATTTTCATTTGTTAATCTCTTTTTCCGTGTGTGTTTGTGTGTGTGTGTATTTATATAAATATACATATATCTACATGTGCATATTTTTAAAGAAACTTAGGTCCATGCTGTATACATCCTACCTTTCACATACAGTTATATCTCACTACTTGGTGTTGTGCTGTGAAGCCTGCCTTTAAACACTTGTTTTGGGCCTCACTGATTTATTTCCCTTTGCTGAATCTCTGGAAGTAAATTTTGTTAAGTGAGATGTTTCGTTTTCAGAGCTCGGGCCTTTAACCACTTTTAATTAATCTTTTTTGTGATTTAAAAATTTTATAGATTATACTTCATCTAAAATTATTATTAACTATTGGCTGTATTCCTTATGCTGTACAATATATCCTTGTGACTTATTTATTTCATTCATGGTAGTTTGTACCTCTTAATTCCCTCCCCCATTCCCTCTTTGTACTGGTAACCATTAGTTTGTATTCTATATCTGTGAGTCTGTTTCTGTTTTGTTATATTCATTTGTTTTATGTTTTAAATTCCACATATAAGTGATAATGTACAGCATTTGTCTTTTTCTGCCTGACTTATTTCATTGAGCATAATATCCTCCAGGTCCATCTATATTATTGGAAATGACAAAATTTCATTCTTTTTTTATGGCAGAGTGATATTTCATTGCATATATATGCCACATTTTCTTTACCCACTTCTCTGTTCATAGACACTTAGGTTGCTTCCATATCTTGGCTATTGTAAATAATGCTACTATGAAGATTGGAATAAATGTATATTTTCAGATTAGTGTTTTTGTTTTACTCTTTAGATTCTGCTCTTTTATTTTTATTTTTTCATGTGTGAAGTTAATTCACTTTCATTTTTTTTTTCCCCTGAGTGTGATTTTTCTTTCTTTTCTTCCATGGAAAGGCATTTTATTAGTAAAATAAAATGTGTGTACATGTGTGTACATATACAGTGTGTACATGTCAATGGGAATTTTAAAGACTTTTAAAATACACAGTCAAATTTCCCTCCAGAAATATTATTTTACCAGAAGGATTTAGAATTCTTTGTTCTTCATACATCTTTGCCAGTACTGAGTAGTAATCTTTAAAAAAAAATATTTCTATACACAAGAAAAGTTTCCATATTAATTTGCATGTCTTTGATAACTTTGACTAGTGAGATCACCTGTATTTCCTTTGTAAATTTCTTAAATTTTTGAATTTCTTAAATTATTAAAAATTTCCTTAAATTTTTCTTAATTAAGAACTCTTCGAAATATCTTCTAAATATTTTAAACATATGCTAAAAAATTGTTGATATGTTTACAAATGGTCAGATAGCTTAAACTTAAATTCTCTTGCATAAGTCTTTGGTATGAATACTGGATTCAGATATCAAGATTGCTGGGAGAAATATCAATAACCTCAGATACACAGATGACACCACCCTTATGGCAGAAAGTGAAGAGGAACTAAAGAGCCTCCTGATGAAAGTGAAAGAGGAGAGTGAAAGAGCTGGCTTAAAACCCAACATTCAGAAAACTAAGATCATGGCATCCGGTCCCATCACTTCATGGCAAGTAGATGAGGAAACAATGGAAACAGCGAGAGACTTTATTTTCTTGGACTCCAAAATCACTGATGCTGGTGACTGCAGCCACGAAATTAAAAGACGCTTGCTCCTTGGAAGAAAAGCCATGACCAATCTAGACAGCATATTAGAAAGCAGAGACATTACTTTGCTGACAAAAGTCCATCTAGTCAAAGCTATAGTTTTTCCAGCAGTCATGTATGGATGTGAGAGTTGGACCATAAAGAAAGCTGAGCGCCGAAGAATTGATGCTTTTGAACTGTGGTGTTGGAGAAGATTCTTGAGAGTCCCTTGGACTGCAAGGAGATCAAACTAGTCAATCCTAAAGAAAATCAGTCCTGAATATTCTTTGGAAGGACTGATGCTGAGCTGAAACTCCAATACTTTGGCCACCTGATGTGAAGAATTGACTCATTGGAAAAGACCCTGATGCTAGGAAAGATTGAAGGCAGGGGGAGAAGGGGATGACAGTGGATGAGATGGTTGGATGGCATCACTGACTCAATGGACATGAGTTTGAGCAAGCTGCAGGAGTTGGCAATGGATAGGGAAGCCTAGCATGCTGCAGTCCATGGGGTCACAGAGAGTCAGTCACGACTGAACAACTGAACTGAATTGACTGCTGAATACAGAGTTAAAGGGTCAGAAGACTCCGTTCCTGCTAGTTCTGGGCCCAGATAACTGAATTAACTTCTTCCAGCTCAGTTTTCTCATTTGTGAAATAGTTATAAAACCTTTCCTTCTAACTTATAAGAAATATTATAAGACCAAATAGGAAAATACTTTGAGAACTGTAATACTGTTCAAATATGTGTACTGTGAGGTCATTATGCTTTGCTTTTAGACCAGGTAATGGAAAGAATACTTACTGAAGCTTTTTTTTTTTTTTTTTTTACTATTAGATAAAGGATTCCAAAATAGGACATTACTTTGTTATTGGGAAAAAGGTTTTATAGAAGAATTAAAGTTCATGTTGTTTTCCCAGTACATATAAAAGTTACATTTATACTATACTGTAGTCTGTTAAGTGTGCAATAGCGTTATGTCTAAAAAAATAATGTATGTACCTTTAGTTAAAAAATAGTTACTGATAAAAAATGCTAACCGTCATCTGAGCCTCTCAGTTCAGTTCAGTCACTCAGTCGTGTCCGACTCTTTGCGACCCCATGAATAGGAGCACACCAGGCCTCCCTGTCCATCACCAACTCCCAGAGTTTACTCAAACTCATGCCCATCGAATCGGTGATGCCATCCAGCCATCTCATCCTCTGTCGTCCCCTTCTCCTCCTGCCCCCAATCCCTCCCAGCATTAGGGTCTTTTCCAATGAGTCAACTCTTTGCATGAGGTGGCCAAAGTATTGGAGTTTAGCTTCAGCATCATTCCGTCCAATGAACACCCAGGACTGATCTCCTTTAGGATGGACTGGTTGGATCTCCTTGCAGTCCAAGGGACTCTCAAGAGTCTTCTCCAACACCACAGTTCAAAAGCATCAATTTTTCGGCACTCAGCTTTCTTTATAGTCCAACTCTCACATCCGTACATGACCACTGGAAAAACCATAGCCTTGACCAGACAGACCTTTGTTGGCAAAGTAATGTCTCTGCTTTTTAATATGCTGTCTAGGTTGGTCATAACTTTCCTTCCAAGGAGTAAGCGTCTTTTAATTTCATGGCTGCAGTCACCATCCACAGTAATTTTGGAACCCCCCAAAATAAAGTCTGACACTGTTTCCATTGTCTCCCCATCCATTTCCCATGAGGTGATGGGACCAGATGCCATGATCTTAGTCTTCTGAATGTTAAGCTTTAAGCCAACTTTTCCACTCTCCTCTTTCACTTTCATCAAGAGGCTCTTCAGTTCCTCTTCACTCTCTGCCATAAGGTGGTGTCAGCTGCATGTCTGAGGTCACTGATATATCTTTTTGCTCATGGAGGGCCCTGTCTTGATGTTGATGGCTGCTGGGTGATCAAGACAGTTGCTGAAGGCTGGGGTAGCTGTGGCAATTTCTTACAATAAGACAACAGTGAAGTTTGCCTCATTGATTGACTCTTCCTTTCACAAATGATGTTTTCTGTAGTATGCAGTGCTAGTTGGTAGAATTTTACTCACAGTAGAACTTCTTTCAAAATTGGCATCAATCCCCTCAGACTCTGCTGGTGCTCTATCAGCTAAGTTTTTGTAAGATTCTCAATCTTTTGTTCTTATATCAACAATCTTTAGAGCTGCTTCACCAGAAGTAGATTCCATCTCCAGAAACCACTTTCTTTGCTCATCTATAAGAAACAGCTCTTCATCTGTGCAAGTTTGATTGTGAGATTGCAGCAGGGATAATTACTAAAATAATCTAGTGGCCTAAAATTGCATGTTTTAAAAAGTTATGGTTGAGCCTTAGTGTAAGAAATTTTAATGGAATAATTTCAATGGAATATAATTTGGTATTCTTAAAATATCTGGGGCCAGGTATTATTTTTATGGTTATGGCTAAACAGTCAATTGAACTTTGTAGTAGAATTATTTATTTATTTATTTTTATTAAATTACTTTTCTTCCCCCTTCTTTTTGGCCATGCCACACAACTTGTGGCATCTAAATTCCCCGACCAGGGATTGAACCCAGGCCAAGGCAGTGAAAGCCCCAATCCTAACTGCTAGGCCACCAGGGGCCTCTCTAGGGAAATTATTTTAAATTAAGTATTATTTTGAATGGTGGTGGTGGTTTGGTCACTAAGTTGTGTAAAATATCAAAAGAATTCTGGTGCTATTTGCAATAAAATTGTATATATTTGTATCTTGTATTGAGGTAGGACTTACTGTTATATGTAAAATACTTCAGATTTCAGCAGAATGTAACTGACAAGAAGCAAGTGAGACTTTCAGTTTTGTGTTTTGCCCTCTTTTCTAGTAGCCTGCACTATCTTTCTATAATGTTTAGATACTTTTAATATTGTGGAGTTAATTTCCCATTTTTATTTTTAAGTATTAAAATTGAAATTCACAGGTTTAGTTTCATTTTAGTGTCAAACAAGTAAAATACATTAACATGGTTCATTATATTCTAGTCATATCTTTTAAAATTAATGTATTTCTAGGAAGCGCAAATGGAATTTTTGGCATTAAATCATATTGATTTAATAGTATTCCATGTGGAAAGTACCATGTACATTGAGGAAATGGGCAAATATGAAGACATGGAAGATCTAAATATAGGTAATGTGTTTTTTTTGATGCTCATGTTCCCCTCCCATTTCTGTCCAGCATCCTTAAGGTCAGTGAAATTTCAATGAATTAACTTTCACATTCAAGAATATGAAGAGACCTGAAGAAATTAATTTTGAATCACATTTTAGCAAGTTGATTGGGTGAAAAGATACAAGGATGCTCTATTTTGCTTAGTGTGATACCTTTCATTGTTATATGTTAGGCTTCTCTCTTTCCGCCTGTGCCTTTATCCTCCAGATCAGTTCTTTCAGTCCTACTGATCTATTCCATGTTTAAAAACGACCCAGGAGCCACAATATGATATTTATTTTTGTTACTCCTATTAGGGTATGAAATTCTGATGACTGTAGTTATATTTGTAGTTGTAAATGAATCCAGTTGTTAACAGTAAAAGGAGTAAACTTTGATAACATTTTTATAATTATTTTTAACATTATTTTTAATAATGTTAAAAATAATTACTAATGTTTTAACATTTAAACATTTAACATTGATATTTTAATGTTAAATTAATTTTAACACAATGTCAAAATAATTTTAACATTAATTTTAACATTATTTTAACATAATTTTACCAATTCTGTTTTTCTTTTTATTGTTCTATCGCTTACGTTTTGAAGTATTCTATACTTTTCAAGGCTATTTCCCACACATTTTTTACTTTGATTGTTATCCTCTGAGTTAGTTGAGGTTACCTTCATTGTAGGTGAAGAATCTGTTTTGGCAGAGTTCAATGATCTGCACAAAGTCACAAATGGCATGTGGAGCATTCTGACTTGAAATTTCATTTATGACCATTATCATTCCTGGTACTTTATAACATATCCTATTCTGAAATTGCTCAGTTGCTTTTCTCCCTTCTGTACTGGTCTATTATAAACTTCTAAGGCAGGGATTATGTCTTGTGCATTTACTAAATGTATCCTGTTTAGTAAATTATTGAATTTTTATCATGAGTCCCATTGAGTAAATACTTTTTATGTAATCCTGTCATTACGAGTCCCAGGAAGGAAGGAATTTGCATACTCTTTTCATGAGAACCGTTTATGATGATGATCACAATCTGTATTATAAATTTAGTAAGGCCTCTGAGCTTTAACTGAGCTTCCCTGGCGGCTCAGATGGTAAAGCATCTGCCTGCAATGCAGGAGACCCAGGTTCGATCCCTGGGTTGGGAAGATCTCCTGGAGAAGGAAATGGCAACCCACTGCAGTATTCTTGCCTGGAGAATCCCACGGACGGAGGAGCCTGGTAGGCTACAGTCCATGGGGTCGCAAAGAGTCGGACGTGACTGAGCGACTTCACTTTCACTGAGCTTTAATTGATACATGACCAGCTTCATGGTTTGAGCACTGTTATAGTTTTCTGATATACAGAGGTTAGAACTGCTAATGATTTAAGCCAGAGTTCTTCTCCATAGCATCATCATTGTATAGGCAGACCTGTGTTGGGTCTCTTGCTCCTTGCTTTATTCCTATCATCGTTAATATATTCAAACTTTCAAAGTCATAGGAATCATCCAAGTGTCAGTTTAATAGGATTCCTGTCCTCAGTGGAAGTTGCCTTTTTCAAAATTTTGTTGCCATGTGTCATTTTACTTAGTGACTCTCTGGCTTCAGTTTGCCCTTTGGTGCTGCCTTCTCATTGTTTCTCTCTCCTGTCTTCGCTCCTCAGCCCCGTTCTTGTGTTTTGGGGGTGGGGGGTGTTTGGTCTTAACTTCCTATGTTTGTAATCCATATTGACTCATAACATAGTATGATGTTGTGCCCAAACACACAATTGCCCTCTTATTTTCATTCATTTCATTAAATAGGAAAGAGAGATGAGGCTTGGAAAGAGTTTGTTATCATGTAAAAGTGGAATATAAAGAAAAATGCTCTTCAAAGGAAATGAACACACAATGAGTCAGAATTAAGTGAACTGGGCTCTACAAAAAGGAGAGTATGAAAAAAACTTGTGTGACTAAAACGAATATATATACATGTTGATAAGTAGGTGAAATGTAGAGCTGAGGAGTAAATATATTTAAAAACTAAAGTGGCTTATTAAGAGAATGGGAAAGTAGAAATGTGTTAGAACAAGGTAAGAGAAGAAAGGATGGATTAGGAAATAAGAATGGACTGGCAGGATAATGAAAATATGTGAATAATAAGAAAATACTGTAAATGAGAAAATTGGCCTTTAATTTTTATCTTGAGGGCATAACTTTTAGTGTCATAGAATGTGATATTTGAAAGTATCTTAAAATTAATAGTGTAAGTCTTATGGTTCACAGGTTTGAACACTGAGACTCAGAGTTATGTAATTGACTAGAGTCACACAGCTAAAAATTGCTGATGTGATACTAAAATCTAGATCTAGTCTTTTATGATATTGGAAATCATATGGAAAATAATAATTTAGTTTTCTGAATGCATTGTCTTTCTCACTTCCTTTCTTTTTAATATGTTATTACAGAGAATTATAAAGTATCATAAAATAGGATACTAGAACAAACCTCCAGATAACCATTTCCTGGCCTCACCCAACTAACATCAGTCAGTGGCTAATCCTGTTACAATCATAGCCCTTTACTTATTATTTTGCACCTAATTCCAAACATATAAACTCATCCATAAATATTTCCCTGTATTTCAGACATGTAAGGATTCTTTTAAAATTAACATAATGCTATTACTACATCTATATGGTTAAGAATTCTTAATATCAGATGCTTAGTCGACATTCAGATTTCCAGCTTCATGCTTTTTCATGCCACTGTTGCTTTGTACATGCTGTTCATTTTACTTAGATGCCTCTACTGCCTCCTTAAGTTTCATTTTTCTTTTAATAATGTTCAGCTAGTGTCAACTTCTAGGAAGCTTTAATTGTCTCTCTAGTCAAGTTAGATGTGCCTCCAGTGTTACCATATGATATGTACAAACTTCCAACAGGATATTTGTGAATTCAGAATATGTGTGTTTATGTGTGTTTACTACATACTTGAATGGATAGATGAATAAATGGGTGGGTGTGTCTGTTTTAATGAAAAGTTTTTTTTTTTTAGATTTAATTGATATGTAACATTATATTAGTTTTAATTGTATACCACAATTATTCAATATTTCTATATATTGTGGTTAATGAAATTAGTTTTACATATTCAGAATCTACCCATAACTCAGTACACATAGAATGAAATCTCAATTTCTTGGTTTATATGGGCTTTTATGGCTTTCCATGTGGTGCTAGTGGTAAAGAACCTGCTTGCCAATTCAGGAGAAGGAGACGTAAGAGATACAGGTTCAATCCTGGATCGGGAAAATCACCTGGAGGGAGAAATGGCAACCCACTGCTGTATTCTTGCCTGGAGAATCCCATAGACAGAGGAGCCTGGCAGGCTACATACAGTCTGTGGGGTCCCAAAGAATTGAACACAACTGAGCGACTAATACACACATGATCTAGAAAGCCTAGAGTTTTCTCATGTCATTTCTTCAGTCTATTTTGTCTTAGTCAAATGTGCCTTCCCTCAGTGCCTAGAGTATGCTGAGCTCTTTTATGTCTCAGAGTCTTTGCATATGTTGTTTTCTTTGTCTAGAACATTCTTTATTGGTTATCTGGTAGACTTTGGATCGCCCAGTTTAAATCTCCCTGTTAAACTCTCTCACTGTATCTTTTGCCTTTCTTCTTAAACTGATCACGTTTATAGTTACGTATTTATTTAGTGATGAGTTTATTGATCGACTTTTCCGTGGATAGAAACTGTGTGGTCAGGAACTGTGTCTGCTTTGCTTACCACTTTCCTTAGTGTCCATCACAATGCTTGCTGTGTAGTAGAAGCTAAAGAAATACTGTCAAACATGTGTGGTAGGACTTTTTTAGGTTATAAATTAATATATTGATTAGAAACAAATGTTATTTGTTGTCAAGTTTATTATTTTTATATTTATATTTATTATATTATTGACAAGTGTAAGTAATTCCTTTTGGAATTAACTAAAACTTGATCATTTCTAGGTCAGGAAGCATCTGAGAGTCATTTAAGATGGGAAGCCAGACAACTGGAAAGTTTTCTAAATATGCATTTTAAATATTAAGATAGTATGAATTCATGAGTTTCTGTGAAGTGCCAAATTTTCATATGCTTGCCTGGGAGAAGAGCTTAAATATTTTAAATTATAGATTTATATTTATATTAATTTCTCTTCAAACATTTCAGGAATTCAAGATGATGAAGTGGAAGAAACTGTTTACAGAGACAGGAAGAGACAGTTACCTTTGGAACTCACTGTGGAGTTAACAGAAGAGACATTTCATGCGACAGTAACGGCTTCTGACAGCATAGTGCTTTTCTATGCTGGCTGTGAGTATTATGAGCCTTTAGAGGTGACTACTGTACTGCATATTAGGACATTTAAAGTAGGCAGATTTTACTTTTGCATTCTGTTATTACACATTGTAAAATGACATAGCTTTCATATGTCCCACACTTTTAAACAATTTACTTCGGAGCTGTTTCTAGGGTCGTAAAACTGATTATATATAGTATAGTCAAAGTGTTAGTCGCTCAGTCATTATCTGACTCTCTGCAATCCCAGAGACTGTAGCCAGCCAGGCACTTCTGCCTATGGGATTCTCCAGGCAAGAATACTGGAGTGGGTTGCCATTCCCTTCTCCAGGGGATCTGAGCCTCCTGCATTGCAGGCAGGTTCTTTACCATGTAAGCCACCAGAGAAGCCCTGATTATAAATATCTGACTTATAATTTGGAGATTATGATTAAACTAGATGTTAAGCTTACTGATTTGGAAAATGGTTGTTATTCAAGCTAATGATTTGAATAGATTAACAGTTATTGTAGGTTTATAGGCATTATATTGCTTTTATCTTCAAACAATAGCCATTCAATTACACTCCTTGCCATATGAATGTAGAAAATTAGTTGTATTTGGAACTCTCTTGAATGTGTGGACAATACTGAGTGCTGCATATTAGAATATTTCTTAGTATAAAATAATTTTTGAGATGCCCCATTAATCTATATGTTTGTTACATATAAGTATGGATGCTTTAGAAATAAAGTTGTAATATTTATTTAATTTTTTATTTTAATGTAGGGCAAGCAGTATCCATGGCATTTCTGCAGTCCTATATCGACGTGGCAATTAAACTGAAAGGTATTACACTGTTGTTGGCATGTTTATTTTCCTGGTTCTGAGCTATAGCTATTTGTAAAATTGTGTCACGCTGAAGATGTAGAAAACCAAATAAAATTTCAGATTATTATGTTTGTGTCTCCACGGTTCATACGTTAAGGAACCATGAGTTTCAAAACTGTTAGGAGCATTCCGTTTGATTGTCTTCATTAAATTGTCTTATAGCTTTATACTTAATCCAGTAAACTTTTTGGCTGAATTCAGTCATTCAGCAAACATTTATTGAGTGCTTACTATGTGCCAGTTACTGTTAAATATTATTAAATATATACTAAATATTATTGAATAAAATTTTGATCGATAAGCCTATAGTCTCACAGTCTAATGAAGGCTCTAAGATCCCAGTGTTCTTGAAGCTATACAGTTAGCTTTTCATGGGTAGGGAATTTCTTAATAGCCAGAATCTTCTTATTTTAACTATTCTATGAAATCTGATTTAGTGGTAGACAAACAGTAATCCAAGCAATGAACTCAAAATGTCTATGCCACTGTCCCAGCAAAGACAAAAGGAGGAGTGGGGAGGCCTGTTAGTAAGAGAGAGTAATAGATTAGGTAAGTATAATATTTTGTAATCATTCGAATAAGACAGTCTATATCACGCTTTGTATCTTTAATATAATTTCTTCTTACTTTGTTTTTCTTGTTAATAAAAGCTGTTATGGCTAAATGGGCTTTTTCTTGGCTACTCCAGAAATGCATCCACCATTTAGTTTTTTGGGAGCATTAGCTTATAGCTTCTTTTATAATTTAGTCAGTTCCTTATGGGAAGAAAGTATGCCTTATACACAGCTCATTGGACTTGGTGCATTGTCTTACATTACAGAGTATGTCATGTTTAATAATTGTTGAGTGAATGAATTAGCAAATATAATAGAGTTTCATAAATTTTGTTTTATTTTGTGGAAAAGGTGTACTGGTGTACAACTTGTGTGTGCGTGTGTGTGTGTGTGTGTGTGTGTATGTGTATATATATATATGTGTGTGTGTGTGTATATATATGTGTATATATATGTGTATATATATGTGGGGCTTTTGTGAATTCAAGAAGTTGATTCCAGAAAATCAACCTAAACACAATATGTTTTATAATAATAAAAGCATCAGAGATATAAAAAATCATTTTTGATCCATTTCTTTTCCATTCATTTCCAGACTACATTCGATCCATTGTTTGATTCTTTCATTCCCCAGGCGAAGGGATGATTAAGTCTGTAGATAATATGATCCTTAGTTTTTTTAAAGCAAATCCTGTCACTCTCTAATTCTCCTTTATGGTTGCAATCTACAGACTGATTTAAGTTTCTTCTCTTAGGTTTTCCAGCCTTACTGGTAAAATGATTAGAAGAAAGAAAAAGTAGGAAAATATAAACCATAATGAAATAGTAATTGGATAATGTCCCTGAATACTAGAATTATCCCCCCTCCCCAGCCCATTTGGCTAGATACCAAATGAAAATGGAAGAAGGTTCTCTTACTTTCTTCTCTGTTAATGACCAAATAAAGACCTGACCCCTCAATGCAAGGACTCTTGAGTTGTATGTGTTTGTAGAATAAAAAAAGCATATTAACCAACCTAAAGACTTGATTTCTTTTTTCAATTAGTATGTTCTTTATGAATAACAATTCTTTTAGTAATTAGATATCAGATAGGTGGATTATTTTGGAAGTTCATGGGGCTGCGTATAAAAATGCGTACTATAGGTAACAATAATGTTTTGTGTCCATGGTGAAGCCTATACTCTTAATTTTATAAACTAGGACAATATTGTAATACTTTGGACATTTAGTTTTGGGGAAAAGCGACTTTTTATCTCTTAGTCCAAGAGGATGAAGAATATTTTATACTCAGTCACAAGGTGGCACCAAATGTCAAGTTTTCATAATTACATAGTGTCTGTAGCTGAGAGTCTTGTTTTTCTTTTAAATTAGGATCCTTATTTGAAGTTGCTGTGTTGTTAAAGTATGTGGAGTGTAATACTACAGTAATCTTAGAACATTAGACTATTCCACTCGAAACATGATTAAGTATTGAAACCATTTTACAGCAAAGAAAATTAAAATGTGATAACTTCAATATAAGTAGCCTTATTTTTTAATAATATATATCAATATTCTTTGTTCAGTTTTAAAGATAACATCAAAGTTTTTGGCTTGGACTGCCGGGACATTTTAAGCAGTGGTAGACCCATTGAGGATGCTTATTGAAGGGAGAGAACTACATTTATTATGAAACCATGTCATAATGGTGTCCTTTAGTGGCAATGCATAGTATGATACTTCATCTGAACAAGGACCAGTACATGCACCACTAGATATTTATTGACTAAATGACTAAAATAAAGGAGAAGAGAACTTTATAGAGTAGATCTAAGCTTAGAAGGAATAAAGATTTATCTTTGTATGCTCATATATTATTCAGGTATTAACATACTTTAATGTAAACACTGAAAATTTGTTCATGAAGAAATATCAGGGTACATTTCACAAATTTTTATTGGATACATAATATGTAATAGACATTGTACCAGGTAGCAGGTTTATAAGATGACTAGACTCTTGAGATAGAATCTAGGATCACAATGCAAGGATGAACTTTTAGTATTAAAACTTTTGATGATAAAATATTAAAATATTGCATTTCACAATTTTAGTCATAAGGGTAGGTTACATCCTAATTTAGAATTAAATTGATATACAAAGGTTCCTTCTTTGATCTAATACTATATGAAAATTTCCTTTTATTAGATTTTCTTCCTTTCATAAGCTGAGTTGTATGCTACTTTGTTATTTGGTTTTTGATATCTCTGCACCTAATTATATATTTTGGAGAACTGGAGAACTTTACATATACAGTTGACTTAGACAACACAGGGATTAGGGGTGTTGACATTCCGTGCAGGAGAAAATCCAAGTATAACAGGTTTTGCCCTCCATATACACGTTTGCCGGAGAAGGCAGTAGCAACCCACTCCAGTACTCTTGCATGGAAAATCCCATGGATGGAGGAGCCTGGTAGGCTGCAGTCCATGGGGTCGCTAAGAGTCAGACACGACTGAGCAACTTCACTTTCACTTTTCACTTTCATGCGTTGGAGAAGGAAATGGCAACCCACTCCAGTGTTCTTGCCTGGAGGATCCCAGGGGCTGGGGAGCCTGCTGGGCTGCCGTCTATGGGGTCGCACAGAGTCAGACACGACTGAAGCGACTTAGCAGCAGCAGCAGCATACACGTTTGCTCTGTATCCAAGTTTCCATATCCGTGGATTCATCCAACCTTGGATCATGTAGGACTGTAGTATTCACTATTGAAAAAAATCCATAAGTGAACCTACACAGTGTTTTTAAAGGGTCATCTGTATTAGTAGAGAACAAGTAGGAATTTCTCTTTGAGGTTCTGCTGTGTGTTTTCTCAGGCTGAAAAGAAATTATTCAGATTCAATAAATATGTATGAAATTATACTGTTGAGACAGGTTGGATATATGAAAGTGAAAAGTGAAAGTCACTCAGTTGCGACGCCATGGACTATACAGTTCATGGAATTCTCCAGGCCAGAATACTGGAATGGGTAGCCTTTCCCTTCTCCAGGGGATCTTCCCAACCCAGGGATTGAACTCAGGTCTCCCACATTGCAGGCAGATTCTTTACCAGCTGAGCCCCAAGGGAAACCCAAGAATACTGGAGTGGGTAACCTATCCCTTCTCCAGGGGATCTTCCCAACCCAGGAATTGAACTGGGGTCTCCTGCATTGCAGGCACATTCTTTACCAACTGAGCTATCAGAAAAGTGAAGTGAAGTGAAGTTGCTCAGTTGTGTCCGACTCTTAGCGACCCCATGGACTATAGCCTACCAGGCTCCTCCGTCCATGGGATTTTCCAGGCAAGAGTACTGGAGCGGGTTGCCATTTCCTTCTCTAGGGGATCTTCCCTATCCAGGAATCGAACCCAGGTCTCCCGCATTGTAGGCAGACGCTTTACCATCTGAGCCATCAGGGAAGTCTGAGCTATCAGAGAAGCCCTAGATAAACATCATGGAGGCCTTAGATAGTATATTCACACACACATCTATGGTATTTCATGTATGAGGACTGCTCTAGATTCTGGAAAACCAGTGATGAGGAAACCAGACACAGTCCCTGACCTCAGGAAGCTCAGATCATACAACAACACAAATGAGTACATAATTCCATGATGAGGTAGGGAAAAGAGCACGGTCCTTTAGGAGTATAAGAATCAGATGTAGATCAGGGTGTCAATGGAGGCTTCTTTGAAATGGTCACACATGCAGAGATCTGAAGGGTGAGAAAGACCTGACTGGTAAAATTGGTAGAGGTGGGCTGATAGCAAAGTAGATTTGCGTTTTGAAAAGATATCTCTAGCTTCAGTGTAGAGACATATTAAATTCTGGGAGATGAATCAGGAGAAGTGATGACTAGAATGGTGGCAGGAAAGAGAAAGGGACCAATATAAGAGGTACTCAGAATTTAGGTGGTAATATTGGAAGGCATGCGGATTGATGAGGTAAGACCTGAGGAGCTTAGGAATGAGGAGGTGTGACAGGTGATACTTTGCTTTTAGAGTTGCACAGGATGGCAACGTTCACTACTGTTCAGAGGAAAGAAACCATGTTTGGTTTTAGACGTCTTGAGTTTGAGGATGTTTCTGTTCAAAGGGACCTGGAGAAGGCAGTATGGACACATGGATCTGGAACTTTGAGGAGCCTGGGCCAAAGCTAAAAATTTAGGATTTCTTAGGTTGTTGATGATTATTGAGATTGTCTGGAAGAGACTGAAGAACAAGAAGAGAAAGCAACTCAAACTGAGCCTTGAGGGAACTCCTGACTCCACTGGCCGAAGAGCCTGCAAAAGGGAAAAAAAGGAGGCAGCTGGGGAGAGGTTGGAGCCAGTGGGAGGAGGTGCTGCAGAGAACCAAGGGAAGAGAGTGCCCAGGAGTCTGTTGTGCTGCTGAGAAGTTGAAACAAGAATGGGATAGAAAGACATTAACAGTGCTCAACAACTGAGTTTTCTACATGAACATTTATAAAAATGTGCATTTTCTTTTTATTTAGGCACATCCACCATGCTGCTTGCGAGAGTAAACTGTGCAGATTGGTCTCATGTGTGTACCAAGCAAAATGTTACCGAATTTCCTGCTGTAAAGATGTACAAGGAAGGCCAGAACCCGGTGTCTTACACTGGTATGCTGGGAACTGAAGATCTCTTAAAATTTATTCAACTGTAAGTATTCAGCTTCACTGTAAGACTTTTTAAGTTTTAGATCTATTCAACTCCTAATTCCCTTACTTATTTGACTCACCTTGGATAGGTTAAGGAAGTATGAACACTGATGAGAAAAGCCTATTACTTTTTGTCACTTTTGGGGAGATAGAAATTTTATTTAATGAGACTGATTTTTCTTTTTTTTTTAGAATAGTGTTCAGTTGTCTTTATTTTGTCAGATGTTTATCCTATGGAATATACTAAGTTCAGTATATATATATATTTTTACAAGCTGAGAAGTATTTTTAAAAATTAATTTTGACTATAAATATTCATCCAGCAACAGGATTTCATGCCCAGTGAACGTTACGTCTGTCCAAGAAGCAGAAGAATATTTAAATGGGGAATTATATAAAGACCTAATCTCCTATTCTAGCATGTCAGTACTGGGACTGTTTAGTCCAACCATGACAAGAGGTAAGTGGAGCTGAACATTTAAATTATATAATGTATAGTTGAAGGCTTGTTTACTTGTTTTCTTTTTAAAGAATTAATATCTTTTTAAATTAAAGAGAACTCAATTGTAGAGAATTTAAAAAATACAAAGAAGTTTGAAGAAGAATAAAAATCTTCAGAGTTGTTAAATTTTAATGTAATTTCTTCCCTCCTTTTTAATGAACTTATGTGTTGAATATTAATATACATTTTAATGTAATTGGGCTAGTACTGTGTATTTAGGTTAGTATCTGCTGTTTTTATTTAACGTTAAGTGGGTGCATTTTTCCATGTGATTAATATTCTTCAAAAACATTGTGGCTGTATAATTGATTGGATGAAAATACCATAATTTATTAAACTGTTTACCAACAAATAATTTATTTTATTTCCTTTTTTCTTTTTGTTACATGTAAAGAGTATTTTTATTTATGAGTCTTTGTGTAGATTTTAGACTATTTAATAGCTATGGATTCCCAGTAGGAGAATAACTGTCTTCTGTAAACTGTGTATGTGTTATTCATTTTTTTAAAAAAAGGTTTTTACATTTGTCTAAAGAATTACTATGAGATTATAATATATTAAAGATGTTCAGCTTTTGTCATTTTATTAACATTCCAATTATTTCCCCCAGTTTGTTGTTTGCTTTTTAGCTTTGTCTAGTAATTTTATATGTAATAGTTAAAATTTTTTCAAATTTATTGATTTTGAGATTTCTTCCATTGCTTTAGCTATAGAAAATCCTTATCATTTTGATCAGTCTGAGCATTCTGATCAGTCACCTGTCTCTTCTTGTTGCTTTAATTTATAATATTTTCTTATGCTATATTGTCTTCTTGAATATTCTTTTTTAAAATTTGTGGGTGATAAGACACAGATAACATGAAACTTACCATCTTAATCATTTATAAGTGTATAGTTAACTAGTGTTAACTGTATTTCTATCGTGTGCAAATTCCGATTTCCAGAACTTTTTCATCTTACAAAATTGAAACTCTTTGCATGTTAAAGACCAACTCCCTTTCCCTGTTTCCCTAGCCCTTAGCAGATACCATTTTCCTGCCCATGTCTATGGATTTAACTCCTCTAGCACCTCATGAAAGCCAGATCGTGCAGTGTTTGTCTGTTTCTGAATAGCTAATGTATATACACATACCTTTTTGAATGTTTTCTATTTTATTCACTTTACCTATTGATACTTAATCTAATTTATTTTATAAAACATGTTGAATATGATTGGGTCGTCTCTTTTTCTTTTTGACAATTTCTTATCTTTTTTGCCTATTGACTCTTCTAAGTGAACTTCAGCCATTTACACATATTGTCTAAACTTATGCAAATTTTTATTGCTTGTTTTATGCTTCATCGGTATTTCTTGTTTAAAGAAATGCTTTTTTAAAATTTACTGAAGGATAGTTGATTTATAATATTGTATTAATTTCAACTGTACCTCAGAGTGACTCACTTATACACATTTTTTTTCATATTCTTTTCTATTATGGTTTATCATAGGATACTGTAGTAGTTCCTTGTGCTATAGAGTAGAACCTTGTTGTTTATTCATCCTATATATAATAGTTTGTATATGTTAATCCCAAACTCCCAATTCTTCCCTCCCTCACACTTCCCTCCTTGTCAACCACTAGTCTTTTCTGGTTTGTGAGGCTGTTTCTGTTTCATCGATAGTTCATTTATGTTGTATTTTAGATTCCACACATAAGTGATATCATATGGTATTTGTCTTTCTCTTTCTGACTTGCTTCACTTAGTCTGATAATCTCTAGGTCCATCCATGTTGCTGCAAATGGCATTATTTCATTCTTTTTCATGGCTGAGTAGTATTCCATTATATATGTATATACCCCATCTTCTTTATCTGTTCATCTTTCGATGGACATTTAAGTTGTTTGTGTCTTGGCTATTGTGAATAGTGCTGCTGTGAACACAGGGGTACTTATAACCTTTCAAGTTATAGTTTTGTCTGGGTTTATGCCTAGGAGTGGAATTACAGAATCATATGGCAACTCTATTTTTGGTTCTTTGAGCAACTTTCACATATTATTTTCCTTTTTTTTTTTCTTTTCATCCCATTTATTTTTTTTTAATTTATTTTTATTAGTTGGAGGCTAATTACTTTACAGTATTGTAGTGGTTTTTGCCATACAATGACATGAATCAGCTATGGATTTACATGTGTTCCCCATCCCGATCCCCCCTCCCACCTCCCTCCCCATCCCATCCCTCTGGGTCTTCCCAGTGCACCAGCCCTGAGCACTTGTCTCATGCATCCAACCTGGGCTGGTGATCTGTTTCACCCTTGGTAGTATACTTGTTTCAATGCTATTCTCTCAGACATATTGTTTTCCTATAGTGGCTGCACCACTTTACATTCCCACCAACTGTGTAAGAGAGTATCTTTTTCTTCACACCCTTTCCAACATTTATTATTTGTAGGCTTTTTAATGATGGCCATTCTGACTGGTGGGAGGTGGTACCTCACTGTAGTTTTGATCTGTATTCTCTAGTAACTAATGATGATGAGCATCTTTTCATGTGCCTGTTGGCCCCTGTATGTCTTCTTTGGAAAAATATCTGTTTAGACCTTCTACCCATTTTTTCAGTTGGGCTTTTTGTTTTTTGTTATTGAATTTTGTAAGCTGTTTGTGTATTTTGGAAATTAAGCCTTTTATTGGTTGCATCCTTTGCAAATATTTTTTCCCAGTTCATAGGTTGTTTTTTTGTTTTATTTTTTATTTCCTTTGCTATACAGAAGCTTGTAAGCTTGATTAGGTCATATTTTTTTTTGCTTTCATTTCTATTTCCTTGGGAGACTAAACCTAAGAAAACTAATTCATCTTATTTTTGATGCATTTCAAATTAATGCTTTTGCCTTCAGCTTTGATACAATGCTTATAGTAATAAGTTTAATTTGTTTGTTTTACATAGTATCATTGGTTTTCCATAGTATCATAAACCCACCAGTGGGCTTCCCTGATGGCTGAGATGGTAAAGAATCTGCCTACAAGGCAGGAGGCCCAGGTTCAATCCCTGGGTTGGGAAGATTCCCTGGAGAGTGGAATGCCCACGCTAGTATTCTTACCAGGATAATTCATGGACAGAGGAGCTTGGCGGGTTATAGTCATGGGGTCGCAAAGAGTCAGACACGCCGGAGCAATTAGAATACTCTCTACCCTACTGGCTGTAGTGTTCTTTCAACATTACAGCTTGTCTATACTTAAACTGCCTCGCTCTGCTTTTTTTGTCCTTCATAGGGCTGGGTCTTTCAATAAGTTTTAGAGAGAGAGTCCACAGGGTATTTATTCTAACCAGTGGATTTGCCTAGAATGTTATTCTCTCTTGGCTTTGGAGATGGATGGCCTCTTGACTGGGTAGCAAAAAGTGTTTTCTTCATCATGTCAGCTGAAAAAAAAAAATGCACAATGTGAGACTTGTGAGTTAAGTTTTATTTGGGGGCAAAATGAAGTTTATAGCCTGGAGCCAACCTCTCAGATAGTTTTGAGGATCTGCTCTGAAGAGCTGAGCGGGGAGGCAGTATGTATGTAATTGTGGTGAAGAGGATTACATGCAGGCAAGCACTCGTTTTGACAGAAGACTGTGCTAGTCACAGGAAGGCACTGCTGGTCACAAGGAGCAGATGTCTCTGTTAATGATTTTAGTGCTGCTTTTCTAGATACGAAAAGATACAAGGAATTGGGTCCATAAAGTCTTCTGAAAATATCTATCTGAAGGCTTGTTCTGCCAGTTTTCCCCAGAGTGCAGAGTGCCTCATTCCTGAGATCCACCCTGAACTCCTTTCAGGGCGTGTTCAATTTGTTCATCACTAAAATGGTTAGTTACCTCCTTACAGAGGCAGGTGGCAAGTAACAGTGTTTAGTTGGCATTCTCATGCTGTTCCCATTTATGTAGCAAACTTTCGCTTTCATTTTTCATTTACTTAAGATGAATTTCAAAATCTGAATGAAATATTTTAAGAATGTTTGTATGGGAAGAAGGTCCCCAGTGTCCAGCATTATAATTGTATATAGTTGATACTATTAACTATTGATTCTTATTAAATTTTGCTTTCTTTCTTGCTTTTTGTCTACTAGACAAATTGCTGTCTAGTAATTTTTTCTTTCTACTTTGTCTTCAGAATTTTTTAAAATAAAAAGGCAAAAAAAGTCATTAGTAAGAATAAGACGACTGTTAATGTGTGCCATGTGGCTTACCATCTTAGAAGGCAAAATCCAGAGGGTATAACTTTTTAATTTCTATTCTATGAAAAATCGTGAAGTAAATGACTCTATATTTTATTCCTTTTTCCCTTTCTCTTGTTTTTTTCACCCACATTGACTTTGTTTTCTGCCTACCTCAGGTGCCTGGTGTCCTGAAGTTCTTATTTATTATTTACACTGGGCCTCCTTCAGAAAAGAATTAGTCTTTAGATAATAAAAAGCACAAATACAATAAAATCATTAAAACAAGGATAAAAGTCAAGCAATAAAGGTAGGAGTAGTTAGAGCAATTTCTAGGTAGAATACATAGAAACAATACAGTGATCATAAAACTTAACCCTGAGCAATCTGGTAGCAAATAGAAACAAAGATGAAATTTTTGCCAACTTATCATCATTATATAATAAATGGCAAAATACAAGTTAGGGTGCTGAGTCACCCATAGAGAAAATATTTCTCTGATTGTACATGCTGAGAGGAATTTTTCATATATGCGTTATATACATATGGATTTTATTTAGAGATCAACATAAGGAACAGCGTGGTGGTGTTTAGTCGCCAAGTTGTGTCCAACTCTTCTGTGAGCCCATGAACCATAGCCTGCCAGCCTCCTCTGTCCCTGGGATTTCCCAGGTGATAATACTGGAGCGGGTTGCCATTTCCTTCTCCAGGGGATCTTCCTGACCCAGGGATCGAACCCATATCTCCTGCATTGGCAGGCAGATAGATTCTTTACCACTGAGGCACTTGTGTGACCCCCAGAAACACTGTACTTGACCATGTTTCTATACAAATGATGATAAAATTTACATATAATTATCTCTCAACAAACGTCAAAAGCATAATGCTGAAGTATTGATACATAAAGGTGGTTCTGGTGTACCAGAATGATGTAGTCTGGATGTGATGTGTTTTTAATGGCTTGGTTGCTTCTAAGCCTTTTAAGTCAGGTATTAGTTCCTCTTCTTTTTTTGTTTGTTTTCGTTTGCAGACGTTCATGTGATAGTTGGATTTTCAGCATCTACTGAATGAGAAAACATAAAGCAATAAAGGGCTCTTATGAATCCATAAAATTTTTATGTTCATTTTAATTATATTCACAAATGCTAACTACCAGAATTTGCTGAGCACTTTTTGTATGAGATCTTAATTGTTGTTCATGTAGATTCTAATGGTTTGAAGACTAATGTCAGTCCCATGAAAGCTGAAATGTCTCTTTTATCCTCTGGTGTATCTTTCAGGACCCCCCACTAGAAAGTTACTACTTTTCCCCTTATCGTTAATAAATACCTTGTGGGAATATAATTGAAAACTCTGTAAATGTCCTGTTTCTCTTCTTACTTTTGCATACCAGTTTTAGAATCCACTCACTGTCTGAAAGAGGCATTACTCTGATAGTTGCCAAGTGGGCAGTTTCTAATTCCATTAATGCTTCTACCTTTATTAGTTGGCATACTGCTTATTTGTTTATCAGTATGGTTAGCTGAGTTCTTATTTTATTCAATGGATTATAATCAGTCACTATCATTAGTTTGCTCAGGTTGTCCTAGGATCCCTTTCATTCTATTATGCTTTTTTTCCCCCTCATCCCTATTACCTGTGACCTTTTGATATGTCTCCATTGTTTTTTGAATGTCCTTTTGCCACAAAATGTTCCCAGCCCCATTCCTAGAATCAGCCAGTTCTCCAGGGAATCCAGTTTCCTTTAGTGAGACATGGGCTCTAAAAGCTGAGATCTCAGAGTTAGGAATGCTTTTAGTTACTGGGGTGTTCTTGCCTCTTGCTGACAGAGCTAAAATACAGATGAATCTACATATGTGTATGTATAAATATAACTATGTAATAAAATGTAACAGTGGAAAGAAGCAGTATTGCTAAATTAATGTATTTATGCTTAAAATTAAAACAACTAAATATTGTAAGTCACTATTAATATTACATCTCAAGTATATTTATAGTGGTTAAAAAGCTTTTTATTTAGATAACTGATCATTTCCTTATATTTGGGTTGCCATATATCCTGACATACATGGCAGTTTTCACCAAAGAGGAGAATGTGCCTGGTTTCAAACATTCAAAGGGGAATTTACACTTTGATTTAGTGGAAATGGATATAGATCTGAGGTCTAAAATCTTAAATACTCCCATTCCCCAAGGAACTCTTAGGATTTATGTACAAGTAGACTCATGAAGAGCCTTCCAAGAAACATATTCATGAGTTTAGAATCTTATGAATGAGCAAATTATATGGAATGTTCGTGTCTTTCCCTACTGTGTTTTATTTAAAAAAGAAGAAGCTAAAACAGATTCCATTATGTCATTGCTTTAGGTAGCAGTCATCAATTATTGATCAGAATTTAGAGGAGTTTCTCTTAGAGATAAGAGTGTAGGCACTCTGTTCCTTCTAGTTGCCTGGTTTTCTTATGTAGCTTTTCTGCTTTGGCATAGCACAGGCTAAAGAAAATGTTTTCATGGATTACTCATTTCTCATTAAATTTGTGATTATAAATGACTTCTCAGTGCTGCTTGCAGGTGGATCTTGCCACCCTCGTAAGTGGCTTTACTACATGTTTCTCAGTCTTGCAGAAAGCCTGCATCATTTTTAAAGAAAATCTGGTGGTTACCCAGTGTTAACGGTGCTGGTGCTCACATCACGAACATAGTGCTGACTGCTGAGGGACAGATCTTCTGGGTTCAGCTTACCCAGACCTCTAGGTGCTTTATGGTTCAGTTCTTCCATCATTGCTTTTCTATTTGAACTGCTGTGAACCTTTCATACAGCCAGCCAAGGTATCATCTGGCCTTCAGTTGGCAAGAATACATCATTTACAAAAGTCCATCTCTGCTCTTTTCTCATTAGTCTACAGCTGTTTAATTCAGACTTGTTTCTGGGTTGTAAGATCCAGAACATACTCTCATTTATGAAACTGTATTCAGAAACCTGCAGAGATAATAGTTCTTATTTTGAATATGCTTATCATAACAAATGGGACAAGACTAATACATAAATTAATCAAAATTCAGAAGTAACAAAAACGCCTTACAGAAAAATACAGGAAATAAAAAAAGAAGATGCAAATCCCTCATAATTGTAGAACCCTAACACAGACACAACAAGTTGACTCATTGGAAAAGACCCTGATGCTGGGAGGGATTGGGGGCAGGAGGAGAAGGGGACGACAGAGGATGAGATGGGGTCGCAAAGAGTCGGACATGACTGAGTGACTGGACTGAACTGAACTGAACACAGACACTGTCAGAGGACTAGAATTTCCAGTCTTCTGTCTTTTTCTATGCATATCGGTCCTTTTAGGTTTTGTGGTATGCTTGTCTTTCCAGGCTCCATATAGCCCAGCTGTCTCCATTTACCTTGCCATAGGAGTAGATTAAAAGGCAACAAATTTTTATTTAACAAATCTGTATGATCAAAACCCTATAAATCTTATAAATTACAGTTGACCCTTGAAAATGAGGGAGTTTGGTTTGCTGACCCCCTGTGTAGTGAAAAATCTCCATTCTGCTGTCTCTGCCTTAAAAACAATGGGTTTGATAAATGATCTATCCAAGGGCAGCAAGCTCAGTTTGGGTAGAGTTAGGACTCAAACCCTCCTTTTGGTTCCACATGTTTGTCATCTCTGATTGAGATCTCCCCATCTCTCCATTGTGATCTCCCCATCTCCCCATTGTGATCTCCCCATCCATCTCTGAGTTTATGGGGAACATAAACTTTTCTCCACACCTAGTTTAAATGTCTATAAAATGAAAATGCAGGTACTCTATTTATTGAAAAAAATTCACGTTTAAGTGGATTTGTGCAATTCAAACTCAATGTTGTTCAAGGGTCAACTGTACATTTAGAGTACATTTTTTTACAGAACATTAAATTATGTACATTATGTATGTTGTATTACATTAACGTGCATTTTTATAATAATCAAATATCATGATAACACAGGTTTATTTTAGAACCAAGAAGGTATGTAAGGTCTACACTTGTTGTTTAGTCACTCAGTCATGTCCAACTCTTTTGTGACCCCATGGACTGTAGCCCACCAGGCTTCTCTGTCCATGGACTTCTCCAGGCAAGACTACTTGCTTAGGTTGCCATTTCCTTCTCCAGGGAACCTTCCTGACACAGGAATTGAACCCACTTCTACTGCTTTGGCAGGTGGATTCTTTACCACTGAGCCACCAGGGAAGCTACAAGGTCTATACTGAAATATATTTATAATTAGTAATAAAGCATTATCATCTATAAATCTGTTCATCAGTTGAATAGCACATATAACTTTAAAGGTTTCAGATTTTTATCTTGTTTGTATATTTATAGCGAAAGAAGAGTTCACTGAAGCAGGAAGCTACCTAAAAGGATATGTTACCACAGGAATTTATTCTGAAGAAGATGTTTTGAGACTGTAAGTGTATTATAATTTTAGGGAGGAGGAAGTTTGCAAAGTAATGTATTACCTGTCTTCACACGATTTTTTTTTTTTTTTTAAGGAAAATAGGGCAGCAACATACCTAAATTTTTAATTTCATCCTGGGAAAATCTGGAAAGTACTATCATGCTATTTAGAATTTTTCCATACTCAAAATTCTTTAGGCTAGAGCCCCCCCCATGAGGCAACATTGGATTCATACCACTTCATCTTCCTATAAAATTTTTCCTCTTTGGATTCTATTACCTGCAATTTAAATTCTTTGCAGTTATAGTTTTTTGAGGAATTTTACATCTTGAGTGTCTGGGTTTTGATTTGCCATCAAGTTATGCATAAAAATCAGAGTTTTTACATATTTCTCCCAGAGTTTTAGGTGATAAACTGATAGTTCTACTTAATTTTGTTATTGCAGACATACACTTAAGCAGTGCTTTTTTTAGCCACTTAAGTTGCTTTGTTTGTAGAATTTGGGGCTGCTGTAAACTATCTAATATTTCAGTTGCTGCAGAATGAATGAACTGAGAATTTAGACGTTATTAATACACATCACATTCTACACTGACTTATCTTCAGATGCACATGGAGTTGTTTGTGTTTCTTACCTTCTGACTATACTATTGCCAATTGTGATTTCTGAGCTTAATTAAATCTTTCATCCTGAACACTGGTGACACATGCATTTGATGATTGAGCTCCTCTTCTATCCAAGAAATCAGTGACTTTTGAAAAGTGAATACCAAACTCTAGACTTCTAGGGAATATGAGACCTATTCACCTGACACATGGATAGTCACCCACTGTCTTCTAGACCAGTAGTTTTCAGAGTATGTTTTGTTTATAACTGACTCATCCGCTAAGAGTACCTTCCAGGTAATCTGAAGACTGGGCAGTAGAAAGCCCAGTCTTCAGATTGATACTTTGTTTTAGCATGAATCAAATTTTTACATGATATAAATGTTACCATATCACTGGTAATTTCACTTGGGCATTTTTTCCTATTTAGTGATTTTCTTTTAGGTTTAGTTAGCAAAAGTAGTGGTAGGAGAGAGCAGATTTCACGTTCTCTTTCAGTGGAGAGAGCTCAGACTCTGTATCTGGAATACCTCAGTGTGAATGCTGTCTCTGCTATTTATCACTCTTTCATCATCTGTAAAATGAGGATTATAGGGCCGTTCTGAGGGTTAAATAAAAATGTAACTAGAAGCACCTGGTATAGTGCCTGGCAAATTTAGGCCTATTCTCATAAATGCCTATCTCCTTGCTCAGCAGTTTGGTGAGCAGTCCAAAAAGTTAAGAACCATTCAATGTGTTCCTAGTCCTGTTTAGACATTTTCTTGATGAGTAAATTGTCTAGAAAAAAATAAAATCTGGCTAGATTAGTATCTGTTGTTTTCTTCTAATCTAGGTTGTCAAGGCTCTTGAACTTGCTCAGATAGCCTCACATAATAAAAGCTAAGTTTGCCTGGAAATGGAGATTTTCTTTTTCTTTTTTTCTTAGTAGGGCTTCCCGTTTGCTGCCTCCACTGTGACTTCTTGGCCTAACTGTTCATGTTTTTGATGACTTGCTGTATTTTAGTTGGGAATTTTAATACTCCATTTCTCCACAGGTCAAGTAAATATACCGTAACTCTTCCAGCCCTGCTGCTTGCCAGACACAAAGAAGGCAAAATAGAGAGCATTCCATTAGTTAATGTCCATGTGAAAGACATAGTTCAAATAATAACAAATGCATCACTGGAAACATTTGTGAGTATATTTTATAATAAGGATGTTGTTTGAAATAAAATCTAGAGCAGTTAAAGATAGTGTAAAAAACAGTGTGTGTTTTAACACATGGTTTTCCATCTTTTGTTGGCACAGGGCATGATGTTTGGTGAGCTCTAGATTCATTGGGCTGCTCTGTTTTATTATTCACCCATCATGCATATAGCTCCTTTAATCCACTGCCAAAAGTTTACATGTCTTTGGATTATTTTTCTTGCTGGGATGCTTGTGGCTTATGGCCAGTTGAAGTACTCCATCTGGGCTGAAACTTGGCATGAAGCAAGTTTGGATTCCAGAGAGCGGCATGCTAGGCTTCCAGTCCTTGCTTGCCTCCTCACTGGCTGTATGTTAGAGTCTCTCCACATGTGTAAAATGGTTATTGTAAGGACTAAATGAGAATGGGTGTTCAGTGCTCCGTATACAGTGTTTAGCCCCTGGTAAACACTCAGCAAATGTTAGCTAGTATTGCTTACATTGTTGTAGAGAAAAGTATGTCTTGTTAAAGTCCTTTTCTGATGCCTACTTTGTATAATAGTGGATTTAAAGGCACAACAGATGTAACCTGCATTTCTTGATTTTGGTTGTTTTTCATTAATATTAAACACAGCTAGAATATTATAAATTGATGCTTTTCTACATTTCTAAAGTGACATGGGAGCAGTATTATCAACTATAAATACTGAATGAATATCCTCTTGTTGTTGTCTTTTGTCATGATAATCTAAACAATATTACATTTTAGGTTAAGAAATGAATGTGTTCTTTAAGTCCTTTTGTGGCCTCAGTCCTACTAACTCCCCTCCCCTAATTAAAGTTACAGTTTATAATTAATCAAATCATTAAAATTTTTAGGATGTGGTTTTCTAAATTATTTATTAAAGTAACATTTTTGTCTTTAATGACTTTATTAAATGACTGTCTTTTTAGCGCAACCATAGTGTAATATTTTTGGAATTTTTATAAGACGTTAGCTTTTTTCCCAGATAATACAGAAAACTATAAAGAGGAAAATTAGAATAAATCATAGCTTCTTTAACCAAGTGTAAAGTTAGGGATATATTTTCCCAAACTTAAAAAACATTCCATGTGTGCTGTTGTTAAATTTCCTAATGCTGCTTTGTGTTGGAGCTTTTAAGTCTAGAGCATCAGTGACTGTATACAGTAGCTATCTTCTGGCCTGCCCTTAGGTACTGGAAAGACTTCTCTGGATAGGAAGGAGCAGTGGATGGCCAGATGGTAAACATTTTTTTATAAATCAAACTTTTATTATAATGAACCTGATGACAAATTAGTCCAGGTAAACAATGCCCAGATCATAGTTAGTTAAATGTTAGTTGCTCGGTCATGTCCAACTCTTTATGACCTCATGTATTGTATGTAGCCCACCAGGTTCCTCTGTCCATGGAATTTTGCAGGCAAGAATACTGGACTGGGTTGCCATGCCCTCCTCCAGGGGTTCTTTCCAACTCAGGGATTTGAACCTGCGTCTCTTATGTCTCCTGCATTGGCAGGCAGGTTCTTTACCACTAGCGCCACCCGGAGAATGACATGTATACCGTCTATGTAATGGCTCACAATTCATATGGCCAGCCCAGACCTTGGGCCTGCTCTCCGGGCTCCTGTATACACTTGTCTGCTTGACAGCCTGTCTTGAATATCTTTGAAAGTGAAAGTGGTAGTCACTCAGTTGTATCTGACTCTTTACAACCCCCCGCCAGGCTCCTCTGTGGAGTTTTCCAGGCAAGAATAGTGGAACTCTCCAGGCAAGAACACTGGAGTGGGTAGCCATTCCTTTCTCCAGGAGATCGAACTTGGGTTTCCTGCATTGCAGGCATATTCTTTACCATCAGAGTCATCATGGAAGCCCCAGATCATAGCTAATTATGTGCTAATTAACTAGTTATTGCAATTAAGCAATTTAAGGCTGTCATAGAACTATTTGTTGGGTAATATGTTTAGCACTTTTCTCAAATACATTGAGTTCATTTTTGTGCTTTTATTATAAATAAGAATACGGGAACATACATAATTATAGTCTCTTATGTACTCAAATAGGCAAATATCCAACAGTAACCGTATTTGATGACCTTTTCTTTTTCTCCGGGTGGCCTCTGAGTAGCAATCAAAACCCTTGATGGTGCTATTCCTTTTTAAAATTCTCTCTTCTTTTGGCTTTAGCAGTTCTGTCCTCTCCAGGTGCCCCTTCAACCCTCTTGCCACTCTAGAATTACATCTTCAACCATTTTTTCTTCTTTTGCTACATTCATTCTTTGGAAGACTTAGTATCTATACCCATAACTTACATGGGTCATTATACCAGCTGATGATTCCTAACTTTTGTTTCTAATCTTAACTAAACTCGCATAACTCTTAGTCTTTCTTTCCTGACAGGAAAGAGCAGTGCCTGTCACTGGCCTATCTTTCCACAAATTCATACTCTAGTTAGTCATCTAAAACAGGCCTGACCATGTGACTTATTTGATACAAAATCTCAGTATTTCTGGGAGCTAGAAAACCTCTCTAGTCATTTTCCCACGTGGTCTTACAGCCGTATTTGCTTCTGGCCTGCCTGAGTCTGACACACGTCACTGTCACTGTGCCCCAGACCGTCTGTATGCCCAACACCTGTCTGCTCCCTGTGTCTGGAATCCCCGCTCTAGCACACACTTCAGTCTGTCAAGGTCTTTTTCCTTATCCAAGGCCCAGGTCCAATATCACTTCCTAAAATCACCCATGAACTCCCCTACCTTGTTTTTTAGTTTTAATTTAGAGTCACTAGGCTTCCTTATTCATGCTCAGTCACTTCAGTCGTGTTGGACTCTTTACAACGCTATGGACTGTAGCCCACCAGGCTCCTCTGTCCTTGGGATTTTCTAGGCAAGAATACTGGAGTGGGTTGCCATGCCCTCCTTCGGGGGATCTTCCCAACCCAGGGATCGAACTGTATCTCCTGCATTTCAGGCTGATTCTTTACCGCTGAGCCACTAGGGTCTTCTTATTGTTATACATTAAAATTTTTTCTTGGATCACAGCAGTTTGCACACTTGTCTCCTCCTCTAAACTATGAACTCTTTGAGGGCAGAGTAAGCATCTTACTTCTTTTTGATTCAGTACCCAGCATAAAGGGCTTTCATTGGTAAAGAATCTGCCTGCTGATGCAAGAGACATGGGTTTGATCCTTGTGTCCGGAAGATCCCCCCTGGCAGTCTGCTCCAGTATTCTTGCCTGGAACATCCCATGGACAGAGGAGCCTGACAGGCTGTGGTCCATGGGATCACAAAGAGTCGGACACAACCAAGCATTCGAGCACGCACACATGCACACATGTACCCACCCAGCAGAAGATCTTAAAATTCTCAATAAATTTTTGAATTGAGCCGTGATGGCTTCATTACACCATATACATCAGATCTGTTCTGCTGGTTTGATAAGATCTGTCGGTTTTAGGAAGGGGACATAACTCATGTAGAAGAGAAATGACAGTAGTTAACGTACGACAACATGGGGGAGTTTGGAGAAAAGGGGATCTAAGATTTAAATCTTGAAAGAGAAAGGTGTGAGAAGAGGACTTTGAGTGGTGAAAGAGAAAGAATTCAAAGAAAAATGAAAACTGGCAGAGGAAAGTGGCTTTGAGAACTAAGTAGGGAGAAGTATTTACCAGGGTTTGGTGTTTGAGGATGAATTGGAGGTGGTTGGCACCATAAAAAAAATTGTTCATTTGGATTCCTAGTGAGATCCAGTGAGATGGCATACTGGTAACCAAAATCCCTGGGTGCTGGTTTCGTTTAATTCTCCCTCCTGCTCAGCTGTGTGACTTCAGCAAGTCAGCTTCTCATCCTTGGTTTCCTCATCTGTCAGCTGGGGATTTGTTTTCTGATGTAGGAAGATTTAATCCATACTGGACAAGTATATCCAGAAGATGAATTAATAGATGTGGTACTAAATATGGAAAATGGTAGAAGCCTTTAATACTCTAAGTCACTGCTGTTTTTAATCCTAAGTATTTTAACGTTGTTTGTTACTCTTTTCAATTCTTATTAATAACAGCCTACACAAATTGTCTTCTACAAATATATTTTTTAAAAATGCTCTCTTTTAATTAATAAAAAGAGTAAGATTTCTTATTTCTTACTACTTTTTCTTTATGTTAAACCGCTCAAAAATAAGAGCCTTTAAAATTTGTTTTAGCCAGAAAAAGAGACTCAGATGTATAGAACAGACTTGTGGACTCTGGAAGAAGGTGAGGGTGGGATCTTTCAAGAGAACAGCATCGAAACATGTATATTATCTAGGGTGAAACAGATCACCAGCCCAGGTTGGATGCATGAGACAAGTGCTCGGGCCTGGTGCACTGGGAAGACCCAGAGGGATCGGGTAGAGAGGGAGGTGGGAGGGGGGACCGGGATGGGGAATACATGTAAATCCATGGCTGATTCATTTCAATGTATGACAAAAACCACTGCAATGATGTAAAGTAATTAGCCTCCAACTAATAAAAATAAATGGAAAAAAATAAAAAATAAAAATAAAAACAGTTTCTATCTTTCAAAAAAAAATTTGTTTTAGCATATTATTGTATTACTTTAATTATGCTAAAAACTCAATTTTGAAACAAACTTAGATTTATTAATTTTTAAGTAATCATAGATGTTAAAAGATTGTATCTTTAAAGCTTAGCTTATATTTTTTTAAAAATTTTATGCTAGAGGAAAAATACTTGTCATGTGTGTGTTGGTTAGTTTGATCCAGATTTTAACATAAGAAATTACTTGAAATGCTACATGCTTATAAAACAAGGAGCTCCTTTAATTTATTTTCAAATTCTATTAGTAGTTTTATTTTGAAAATAATTCATTATTAAAATAAGATGAGTTTAAATAAAAAACACTCTTGAGATTCATATTTGTTAATCAATATAGTAAAAGCTCCACTTAAATGAAAATTTGTTTGAAATACATTTTATAAACTAACATGCAAGAGTGATTTGAACATTATTTTCTATTTTATGTATTATAATTTCCTGTTTTTTCTTGATTTGTTTTGTTTTTAAACAGCCAGAGATCACTGTGGAAAATCTTCCCATTTACTTAAGACTTCAGAAACCATTACTTATTTTATTCAGTGATGGTGGCATAGATCTTCAGCATGAAAAAACAATACTGATGCTGGCTAAAAAGAAATACTTGGATTCACTTACCCCTTGTTGGTTAAATCTGTAGGTATATTTTTTATTTTTTAATATGTAAAAAATAAAGAAAGTAATAAATATTATTAAGTCTTCATTACGGAATGAAAGTACCTTTGGAGGTAATGTTATGAAACCAATATATAAGACATCATGATATTTTAGTAACTAAACTGCCTCAGATGGTCTGAGATGATCTTGTTTTAGATTGAATTCTATTTTACAATAAATTCTTTTCTTTTTTTGGCTGTGTTTTTTTTCAACTTTATTCAAGCATAATTGACAAATTTGTAAGATATTTAAAAGGTACATTGAGATAATTTAAACACAATGCATATATGTATGCATTGTGAAAAAACTCTTTCATCTAGTTAATTAACACATCCATCACCTCTTATATTTGTTTTATAAATGTAAATTTTGGGATGGGGTGGAGTGAGAACATTTAAGTTCTACTCATGTAGCAAATTTCAATGATACAGCACAGTATTATCAACTATATTCACTGTGTTATACATTGAATCCTTGGATCCTATTCATCTTGCAACTGAAAAGTCTGTTTCCTTTTACCAGTCTCACCTCATTTCCCCCACCCTGCAGTCCCTGGCAACTTTTCTACTCTGTTTTTATGAGTTTGACTTTTTTTTTTAGGATTCCACATATTAGTGTTACTGCTATGTAGTATTTGTCTTTCTCTGTCTCTTTAAGTATCTTGTTATTTTATAGTTTGTAGCCATTTAATTTTGAGCTGACATGATCAGATACTTGACTAAACTTTGAAAGGAATATATTGATTATGTCAGGACAAAATTGATGAGCCAGTGGACTATGTCTGTTTTTTACTAAAACTCTCATGCTGCCTTTTTTCTCCTAAGAGATATACAGTACATACCTCACGTGAAAAGAAATGTTTTATGACTCTAATTACCAACAATGTAGTTATAGACCTCTTGATTTTTAGGACTTACTTCCATAAAATAAACTTCCTGTTATGGTGCTGTATTTATTTATTTGTTTGTTTGTTTGTTTATTTATTTATTTTATGGTGCTGTATTTAAAGGTTAATGTTTTACAAACAGTTCTTGTTATTTTGCTATAGAAAGAAATATTCATTAACGTGTTCAGTTGCTCCCTTTTCTAGGAAGAAGACGCCAGTGGGGAGAGGAGTCTTGCAGGCATATTTTGGTACCCTGCCCCCTCTTCCTCTTCTTGTTGTGGTGAATCTGCATTCAGGTGGCCACGTGTTTGCATTTCCTTCAGACCAGGCTATCACTGAACAGAACCTTTTATTGTGGCTGAAGAAATTAGAAGCAGGACTAGAAAGTCATATCAGTAAGTTTCCTGTTTTAATGTGTGCAGTTCTACATTTTGTTTCATGGATTTTTAAACTTGATTTATAGCTGATGAATGCTAGAATGAGTTGAATTGTAATGTTTGTAAATATTCTAAATATTAATACACTGATAGCATTGTCCATATAGTCTGTTATATGGTAGATATTCTTACCCACAGAAAATGAGTGCTGTTATATTACATTTAATAATAGCTAAACATTTATTGAATGCTCAGTAGGTATCATGCACAGTTACATGCTTCACATGTATTATCTGCTTTATTCTCACAGGAGTCATAGGACATACCTGTAAAGGAGCTAAATAACTAGTTCAAAGTCATATAATTAACCAGTCAATGAGGAAACTTGGATTTCAACATGGCTCTGTTGTACTCCAGAGCCAGAATTTTGAACCATAAGAAAATAGATCTTGGCCCAGAGTTTACAATGCTGGTTTCATGACATGCCATGAAAGTGAAAGTGTAGTCTTTCAGTGGTATCCATCTCTTTGTGACCTCATGGACTGTAGCCCACCAGGCTCCTCTGTCCATGGAATTCTCTAGGCAAGAATACTGGAGTGGATTGTCATTTTCCTCTCCAGGGGATCTTCCCAACCCAGGGATCAAACCTGGGTCTCTTGCATTGCAGGCAAATTCTTTACCATCTGAGCCACAGGGGAAGTCCAAGACATGACATGCCATAGTTGCTATTTTTCTAAAACCTCTGTGGGTTTGTACTTGTGGCATAGATATGTTTGTTAGTTTATGTACAATCATGGCAACAAGCCTGTTGCTATAATTTAGTTAACATGTAATAACCTAGATCATTAGTCTGTTGAGGAAATAGTGATGTAATGAAGTTTCTTAAGGCATTTGTAAAGGTTTTGTTATTGGAAACCAAATGAACTGTTTTATAATAACATTTTGATGCTGTTCATGACTGAGTTCTGAAATAAGTTTGTGTATGTGTGTATGTGAACGCATGTGAATATGTGTACATGCACACACACAATTCTGGTATATAAACTCCAATTCAGTGTTATGCTGTCTCTCAGCTTGCATGTTGTCAATCTATCACTATGTATGTTTATGTATATTTAATCATATTCTTGAATTTATTCAAGTGTCAATCTTTGAAATATACTTGTTCTTCCCAGGAGGTCTATCCATTTCATTTTTTTTAAATTAGGCAGTTTTAACTAAATTGTTATGTCTAAATAGTCTATTGATGATTTTTGTATATTGAAATACAATTCACATATCATAAAGTACACCCTTTTAAAGTGTACAGTTCGATGTGGTTTGGGTTTTTTTTAATGTATTCACAAGATTGTACCATTCACAACCATTGCCACTACTGAATTTTAAAATATTTTCATCACCCCCAAAAGAAACCCTGTACCCATTCACAGTCACTCTCCATTCTCCCCTCTTTTCATTCACTAACCACTTATTTATCTTCTGTCTTTCTGGATTTGTCTAGTCTAGACATTTCATATAAATGGAGTCATACACCATGTGGCCTTTTGTGTTTGGCTTCTTTCACTTAGGGTAGGTTTTTAAGAATCATCAGTGTTGTAATGTGAATCAGTGGTTCATTCCTTTTTATGGATGAATCATATTCCATTGGATGGATATATCCCATTTTGTTTTTCCATTCATCAGTTGATGTACATTTACACTGTCTCCATTTCTTGCTAGTATAAATAATGCTGCTATGAACATTCATGTACATGTTTTTCTATCAACTATACAGATGTCTTATGCCAGTTACCCCACTGTCTTGAATACAACATCTTTGAAATAGGTTTTCAAATTGGGAAATTTGATTCCTCCAACCTTGTTCCTTGTGTGACAGATTATTTTGGCTATTCTGGGTCCTCTTGGATGGTATTTTTAAGTCTTAGTTTTCTGAGATATAATGGATTAGTATTTAGAAATGTAAAAAAGTAACTAAATTGACTATTTTGTTTGTCATAATCTGGAAGAAGCCTTTCTGTGGTTGTTAGCGCTCACTGATGGCCTCTTCATTCTAGCCACACAGCAGAGGGGTCCTTTCAGTTGCAGCTCTTGAACTCTTCAGATAGGCTGCATTCTCTGTCTGCACTGCTGTTTTATAGAAGCGTCTAAGTGCTATCATTGTGCAGTTGCCGTGACACAGAGGCCTCATGGATTCTGACTACATCAGATAGGATTATATGTAGGTCAGGCCGGAGTACCTCTCCACTGAATAGCTTTTTTTTTTTTTTTCCATTTATTTTTATTAGTTGGAGGCTAATTACTTTACAGTATTGTAGTGGTTTTTGCCATACATTGACATGAATCAGCCATGGATTTACATGCATTCCCTATCCCTCCCCATCCCATCCCTCTGGGTCTTCCCAGTGCACCAGCCCCAAGCACTTGTCTCATGCATCCAAACTGGGCTGGTGATCTGTTTCACCCTTGATAGTATACTTGTTTCGATGCTGTTCTCTCAAAACATCCCACCCTCGCCTTCTCCCACAGAGTCCAAAAGTCTGTTCTGTACATCTGTGTCTCTTTTTCTGTTTTGCATATAGGGTTATCGTTACCATCTTTATAAATTCCATATATATGCGTTAGTATACTGTATTGGTCTTTATCTTTCTGGCTTACTTCACTCTGTATAATAGGCTCCAGTTTCATCCATCTCGTTAGAACTGATTCAAATGTATTCTTTTTAATGGCTGAGTAATATTCCATGGTGTATATGTACCACAGCTTTCTTATCCATTTGTCTGCTGATGGGCATCTAGGTTGCTTCCATGTCCTGGCTATTATAAACAGTGCTGCGATGAACATTGGGGTGCACGTGTCTCGTTCAGATCTGGTTTCCTCGGTGTGTATGCCCAGGGGTGGGATTGCTGGGTCATATGGCAGTTCTATTTCCAGTTTTTTAAGCAATCTCCACACTGTTCTCCATAGCGGCTGTACTAGTTTGCATTCCTACCAACAGTGTAAGAGGGTTCCCTTTTCTCCACACCCTCTCCAGCATTTATTGCTTGCAGACTTTTGGATAGCAGCCATCCTGACTGGCGTGTAATGGTACCTCATTGTGGTTTTGATTTGCATTTCTCTGATAATGAGTGATGTTGAGCATCTTTTCATGTGTTTGTTAGCCATCTGTATGTCTTCTTTGGAGAAATGTCTGTCTAGTTCTTTGGCCCATTTTTTGATTGGGTCATTTATTTTTCTGGAATTGAGCTGGAGGAGTTGCTTGTATATTTTTGAGATTAATCCTTTGTCTGTTGTTTCATTTGCTATTATTTTCTCCCATTCTGAGGGCTATCTTTTCACCTTGCTTATAGTTTCCTTTGTTGTGCAGAAGCTTTTAAGTTTAATTAGGTCCCATTTGTTTATTTTTGCTTTTATTTCCAGTATTCTGGGAGGTGGGTCATAGAGGATCCTGCTGTGATTTATGTCGGAGAGTGTTTTGCCTATGTTCTCCTCTAGGAGTTTTATAGTTTCTGGTCTTACATTTAGATCTCTAACCCATTTTGAGTTTATTTTTGTGTATGGTGTTAGAAACAACTTATCTTCGACAAAGGAGGCAAGGATATACAATGGAAAAAAAACAACCTCTTTAACAAATGGTGCTGGGAAAACTGGTCAACCACTTGTAAAAGAATGAAACTGAATAGCTTTTAAAAAGGTCATGTGATGTTCAGAGACAAAGAAACCCGAACTTCTGACCCAGCTTCCTTGACTACTAACTGTGTTTTTTTCCCTTTGTTTCCTCCTGATAGTCCCTACTCTGTGTTACAGTTATTTTAAAAATTAAAACGAAGTATGCAGAGGCATACGTTTTAAAGTGTAACGCCTACAGCATTTATTATGCTTCGTGTAAAGATCCTTTCCTACAAGGGGCCTCCTTAGGGGCTTTGATTTCTCAACTAAACCATTAGCAAGGATCAGAATTATTCTTCTGAGTTTCCGGAGAGACTCGTATTTCTTCCATTGCAATGATGGTAATGCCTCTGGTTTCCATTATTTCTTTGTACCTCTGCTCCCAATCTTAAGTTATTCCTGCAGCCTCTGCAGCAGGAAAGAAGCCAAGGTCCAAGCAGGACTTTTCTGTATGGAGTCCTGTCCTCTGTGCTGCCGGGACCTGCTCTCACTACATCCTGGGAGGCAGGTCTGAGACATGAATGTTGCAGCTCCCCTTAGGAGAGCCCGCGTCTCTAACACAGTGCCACTGGCCTCCGCCTCACCTTGCTTGCTGCACATCTTAATTTCTGTGAAATTGTGACCACTGGCTATTCTTATTTGACATTTACACTTAATTTTGGTCAAGTTCTTTGACCTTTCGAGGACTTGGTTTTCTCATATATAAAGTTGGGATAATAATTGTACTTACCTCATGAGGTTGTAAGGATTAAATACATAATTCCTGATACATAGTAAAGCCTCAGTCTATGTTAGTTATTATTATTATCATTACTAATTTGATAATAGTGTCTTTTTTGCCCATATGTGAGGAGAGTACAGTTTTATTTGCAATTGAAAAAATTAAGATCTTTGTCCAGTTCCTCAGGAAATAATGAGCAGAATTAGAATGTCCAGTTTCAGGCATTTTGTCATTGTCTCAGACCACTAGGCTTCAGTGCTTCCCATAAAAATAAATAGTGATAAATCTGCTGTGCTTTAAATTGGACTTCTCTTAAAGATACTTCATCTGCATATTACACAGTACAGTTATTTTACTTCTTGCCTATTCATTATATTCAAGAAACTATTTTATCCATTTGTCACTATTGACACTGACAGCAGACTATATTTGAGTCTGTTATCTGGGCAACACTGTAATTTGAAACATCAATTACAGGGGTAACTTAAATGTAATACCTTGCTGATGTACCACAGATTTCATAAAGTGAAGAAATCATATCAATGAGTAGAGTATAGATATACATATATATATATGTACTGATGCAGATTTTTGTCTGTGTTTTAATTAGAGTTTGTATGACTGTCCTAAGCTTTGATTTGATTTATGAGAGATGCTTGAGTTTTTGCTTTATGAGCATTACTTTCTTTTCATATAACAGTATATAGATTCTTTCATTGGAATTTAATTTTTAAATGTTTAGTTTGCACATTTCCTTATGTAATTTCTCACATAGTACTTTGAATAGGCATCTAAACTCTGAAATTGTGTGAACTCTGTTTACCGAATGGAGTAAAGCTTGTCTATTTATCCAATATATATGTTATCAGCTTAAGTCCTTTTTCTTCTTTTAATGACCAATATTTTAAAATAATGTTAAAATTCACCGCCATGAAGCCCTCCTAAGTGCTTCTAATCACTGCCTGTTTATAGTACAGTTGATTCCATAGCAATCTTCCAAAACAGAAAATGCTTTAAAATATAAGAAATATTTTTCTAAATTTTATATATATATGGTCCAAAACTTTTCTAAATTTAAGTGTATATAAAATTTATATATATATGGTCCAAAATTTTTATCTGGGATGATCTATAGTTACAGTACTTTGGGCATAATGGCAGGGGTAGGGAGGGAAGCAAGAGACTTCTTCATTTTAACTTGTCCCTGGCTGTTATAATCTCATTACACATATTGCTATTTTTTTAACCCTCAGCAATGGTTAACAGGCAGTGAGATTATGGACCTTTATGTTTTTTGCCTATTAATACCTATCTTTATTTAAAATAGCACAGCCTATAAATGAAAATGTCTAGTAATGACAAATGCATTAAGTTTCTTAGACAATGATGATAATAAAATGTAGCTTTCCCGTAGATAAATAAAACTGATAAGGCCTTCACCCCTATAAATATATTTTTCAAAATAAAACATTTTCTAGTATATTCATGTGATGGGATTTTATATCTGTTCCTCTTTAACCCTTGATTCTACCTTCCTTGCAGAAGTTTTACCTGCTAAGGAATGGAAACCTCCTCTGCCTGCTTATGATTTTCTAAGTATGATGGATGCGGCAGCATCTGAGCATCTTACTAGGAAAGATCCCGAGTGTATAAAAGAAACTGACGTGCAGGAAGGTGATAAAGAACAGCCTGACGATAAATCCGCAATCACAGAGGAATCGACTGGAACATTGAAAATGAAGCATTCAAGCAGAAGTAGTTGGTTTGAAGAAGCCAAAAAACTGCTCAGGCATGATAATAAAGAATTATGATACTCAAAAGTGAGCTAATTTTATAGGGCTGTGAAAAGCTTCCCAAAGTCTTTTTGGCTTATTTGATAGACTTGAGAATTTGTTTCACTATAAAGTAATACTGAGTCATTTCAAGTTTCTAGATCAGGGCTATTCAATGGAAATATAATGTGCAATATAGTAATTTAGAATTTTCTGTAGCCACATTAAAATAAAACTGAGCAGGTGAAATTAATTTTATTTCACCCAATTTAAGTATACCACCCAAAAATAGTTCAGTTAACATAAAAATTGTGAGTTACTTTACATTCTTTTTTTGTATCAAGCCTTCAAAATCCAGTGCGTATTTTACGCTTACTACACGTCTCACTTCAGGGTAGCTACGTTTCAAGTGCTCAGTAGCCACGTACGGCTGGTGACACAGGTGAAGCCATACGTATTCATGTATCCACTCTCCCCCAAACTCCCCTCCCATCCAGTCTGCCACACAACACTGAGCAGAGTTCCCTGTGCTATAGTTGGTCTTTCTTGGTTATTTATTTTAAATATAGCAGTGTGTACATGTCCATCCCAAACTCCCTAACAACTATAAGTTCATTCTCTAAGTCTGTGAGTCTCTTTCTATAAAACCAGTGTTTCTTAATCAGGGGAGAGTTTTGCCCCCAAGGGGACATTTGGTAATGTCAAGAGGCATTTTTGATTGTCATTACTAGGGGCATTACTAGCGTATAGTGGGGTTAAGTAGAAGCCAGGGATGCTAATAAGCATCTTACAATGCATTGGATAACTCCTCCCACCCCAAGCAAAGAATTACCCTCCCCAAATGTCAATAATCCCAAGTTTGGGTTAAACTAATCTGTGGCAAAATGTTAAATTCCCCTATATTTTTAAAAGTAATGAAATAACCCTAAAAAGAATGCAGAGTAAGATATATTTAATATATATTATGTTGTATATGTTATATAATGATTATCTTATATATAATAATATATATTACATATATATATATAATTCTTATATATATACAGTTGCTCCTTAGACCAACCTAGATTTGAACTGCACCGTTCTACTTACATGTAGATTTCTTTCACTGAATACTTTCTACAGTACTATAGTGTCCGTGGTTGATTGACTTTGCAGATGTGGAACCGTGGATATGGAGGGCTAACTGTAAAAAGCTGTTTGTTTGGGGGTTGGCTCCCCTAAACCCCACATTATTCAAGGGTCAGCTGTATATTTCATAGTATCATAGATCATTTGTTCCACCCAGCACCCTTCCTAGATGTTTTTCTTATGGCATGTAATCTGTATTAATTCAATTCATTCTCATTTTTTATTTGTTACATGGGAGATATGAAAGTTAACTCCAAATATAGCTTGTATTAGTAAAATATCACCAGCCTAACCATTAACTGCAAGCACATAAAAACTTGAAATCAATTAGTCATTGTACCATAGCCAGAAATTTTGACAGTTATTAATATTTGTTTTTAATAATTTTAAATAAAGTATCTGGATTTCAGGCTACCTTTAAAAGCTTCCTGTGGCCTCTATCATGCTGTCTATGGGACCACTTTCCCTGTATCAGTTGGATTTCTTTGGTTGCAAGCAACAGAAATTTAGCTTTGATTAACTTAAGCAAAGTAGGAATATTGGTAATTCATAGAGTTAAGCTATGCTTTGAAAAAATATAAACAAAAGCTGTTCGGGGATCTGTATAGCAGGAACTAACCAGCTCAGTAATTTTTCTGTCTTCCTGTCCAGCTGTTTTTCTCTCTTTCATGTCTCAGGGACTCCTGGGAATGTTGGCTAGGGGAAGACTAACTGGCAGCCCTAACCAGATTTCTACAGTACAGAAGAGGTGAGCCTTACAGCAGAAATCTAGATTCTGTTTGCTAAGAAAAGGGAGCATGAGTGTGGAGAGAGAAGAAAAACAGCAAAGAGGAAATCTATGAATCCTCAAGACACCACTTGCTGTCCTTCTATCTAGCCTTTTATTCTTTTCAGGTGTTTCTGTCACATCCTCCTATCCATGTGTGAGAGTTTCAAAAGCTCGCTCTCTCTATCCTCAAGTGTTGGAGTTTTCCCATGTATCTCCCTGAATCTCTGTAAGAGTTGGCCAGTGCATATGTACATTCTGAGTAACATTTCATTCCTCATGAATCAAATTATTTTACCCTCTCCTGACTCACCTATGCTGGAAGAAACATCCTTGGTCCAGCCCTTATGATGAAATATTTCATTCATTTCACATTTCCTGAAGTTCATTACCCAAACTTATGCTTCTTTTAAAAACTAACTAAACATGGATAAGCAGAACATTTTATTCAAAGATCTGTGTCTATCATTGGTAATAGAAAGTAATCAAATAGGTATACCTTGGGAGTTGTGCTTGCATTTAAGATGTAGAAAGCTGCAAGAGAATGTTCCTCCCATCTTAATAAAATAAAAATCAAAACTTTTCTATTACACATCAGAGAAGGCAGCCAAAGGAACTGAATTCCAGAATGACAGGCCTCTTAAAGAGACAGAATACATGAACTATTTCACCTGTGGCAGAGAATAGGAGGCTGCCAGTAAAGAAGACACTTAGAAAGGTCTAAGATGTGTCCCTGCCTGCAAGTTATAAGTTAGCTTGCCATAGTTTCTTGTATTAGAGAAAAGGGACTTCATTACTTAACCCAGTAGTATCAATCAGTGTCAGTATCTCTGCTGGTTCCCTGATCCCCAGTCCCACAGGGCAATGAGAGGAGGGCCAGGTGACACCTATACATGCAGTGGGTTGCCTTTCAGGAAGATCCCTGAGCTCCAGGAACCTAAATATTTTATAATGAGTATTAAGCATGCCTGTCCTTTGCTCTGGAGGGAGACATCTTTGTTACAGTAGATGGTAATCGCATGTGTCTCTCTTCAGAGGAAGATGCTATCTCTGTTTACCCCAGCTGAGAAGGTGGTTGAGACAGAACAGAGGCAGTCAGTGCCTCTCCATAGATCATGTGCAAACATGAGCGACCCATGAAAAAGTATCTTCCAACAAAAATCAGCTAAAATTTTAAAGAATTTAGGGGCAAGCATGGACGGAGAAGGCAATTGCGACCCACTCCAGTACTCTTGCCTGGAAAATCCCATGGGCAGAGGAGCGTGGTGGGCTGCAGTCCATGGGGTCGCTAAGAGTCGGACACGACTGAGTGACTTCACTTTCACTTTCATGCATTGGAGAAGGAAATGGCAACCCACTCCAGTGTTCTTGCCTGGAGAATCCCAGGGACGGGAAAGCCTGGTGGGCTGCCATCTATGGGGTCGCACAGAGTCAGACACGACTGAAGCGACTTAGCAGCAGTAGCAGCAACATGGATTGACTATTAGCTTAGAGTAAGTGGGAGCTTATCTCTCCTTGGTATTCTTTGGAACTCTGCATTCAAATGGGTATATCTTTCCTTTTCTCCTTTGCTTTTCACTTCTCTTTTGTTCACAGCTATCTGTAAGGCCTCCTCAGACAGCCATTTTGCTTTTTTGCATTTTTTTTTCTTGGGGATAAGAAAGTCTTACTCAGTGATCAGTGCAAAGAAATAGAGGAAAACAATAGAATGGGAAAGACTAGAGATCTCTTCAAGAATATTAGAGATACCAAGGGAACATTTCATGCAAAGATGGGCTCAATAAAGGAATAATGGTATACCATTTCAATAAAGAAATGGTATTGACCTAACAGAAGCAGAAGATATTAAGAAGAGGTGGCTAGAGTACACAGAAGAACTGTACAAAAAAGATCTTCATGACCCAGATAATCACAATGGTGTGATCACTCACCTAGAGCCAGACATCCTGGAATGTGAAGTCAAGTGGGCCTTAGGAAGTATCACTATGAACAAAGCTAGTGGAGGTGATGGAATTCCAGGTGAGCTATTTCAAATCCTAAAAGATGATGCTGTTGCACTCAAGATACCAGTAAATTTGGAAAACTCAGCAGTGGCCACAGGACTGGAAAAGGTCAGTTTTCATTCCAATCCCAAAGAAAGGCAATGCCAAAGAATGTTCAAACTACTGCACAATTGCACTCATCTCACACTCTAGTAAAGTAATGCTAAAAATTTTCTAAAGCCAGGCTTCAGCAATATGTGAACCGTGAAATTCCAGATGTTCAAGCTAGTTTTAGAAAAGGCAGAGGAACCAGAGATCAAATTCCCAACATCTGCTGGATCATTGAAAAAGCAAGAGTTCCAGAAAAACATCTATTTCTGTTTTATTGGCTATGCCAAAGCCTTTGTGTAGATAACAATAAACTGTGGAAAATTTTGAAAGAGATGGGAATACCAGACCATCTAACCTGACTCTTGAGAAATCTGTATGCAGGTCAGGAAGCAACAGTTAGAACTGGACATAGAACAACAGACATTCCAAATAGGAAAAGGAGTACGTCAAGGCTATATATTGTCACTCTGCTTATTTAACTTACATGCAGAGTACATCATGAGAAACGCTGGACTGGATGAAGCACAAGCTGGAATCAAGATTGCCAGGAGAAATATCAATAACCTCATTTATGCAGATGACACCGTCTTATGGCAGAAAGTGAAGAATTAAAGGGCCTCTTGATGAAAAGTGAAAGAGGAGAGTGAAAAAGTTGGTTTGAAGCTCAACATTCAGAAAACTAAGATCATGGCATCCAGTCCCATCACTTCATGGCAAATGGATGGGGAAACAATGGTAACAGTGAGAGACTTTATTCTTCTGGGCTCCAAAATCACTGCAGATGGTGACTGTAGCCATGAAATTAAAAGACGCTTACTCCTTGGAAGGAAAGTTATGACCAACTTAGAAGCATATTAAAAAGCAGAGACATTACTTTGCCAAAGAAGGTCTGTCTAATTAAGGCTATGGTTTTTCCTAGTCATGTATGGATGTAAGAGTTGGACTATAAAGAAAGTTGAGTGCTGAAGCATTGATGCTTTTGAACTGTGGTGTTGGAAGAGACTCTTGAGAGTCCCTTGGACTGCAAAGAGATCCAACCAGTCCATCCT